ACAACATTACTAGAGGTGCAGCTGTATGATCCGTAGATATTGAAGATCCCTTTTGATCGTCTGACACTTTTTGATGGATTGATTTGGTTGCACAATTTGCAGCGTATTCCATTGCAAGGTTTGCTTCCATTATTTGTGACATCTTGATCAGAAGGAAGTTTCCTACTGATTATTTTTTTTTTGAGGTTGGGGGGTTGTCTGAAGGCCAGTATTGGGGGTTGCTGGAATATTTCTTTCAGAGTTCCATCCTCTGTTATGATGGGTTGTAAATCTTTGATTATTTTTCTTATTCCTTCTAGTGCTGGGTTGTATGTGGTTACTAGAGGTACACGGTTGTTTGTTTTTTTCTCCTTGTACTGAAGTAGATTTTCCCTTCGGGTTCTCAAGGCTGTGTTTATTCTGGTGTTGATAGTTTTGTCCTTGTAACCTTTCTTATGGAAGGCATCTGCTAGTGTCCCGAGATGTTTATCTCTGTCTCTTAGGTCAGAACATATTCGGTGGTATCTAATGGCCTGACTGTGTATGATGGCACGTTTCGTGTGTTAGGGGTGGAAGCTGGAACTGTGGAGGTAGTTGCATCTGTCAGTGGGTTTCCTGTATATTGAGGTGTGAAGCGTATCATCCCTGATGTATACTGTGGTGTCTAGGAAGTTGACATGTGTGTTTCCCATCCCCTACATCTCTTCTAACATTCTGGTAAAACATTGTGATCAGTACTGCTTGGACATGAAGAAGGGGACATTCCCCGAAAGCTTGTCCTCAAAATTGTATGTTAGTGCAAATAAAAAAAGTATCACGGGCAGTACTCAATTGTTTCTGAAGGCCTTATTGCTACTTGTGAAGATTTTGAACGATTTCTTGCAATTTGCAGTGACATTTCCATTATATTCCATGTATGTGAAATCGCAACAAAAACTGCAGAAAAAGTAACTACTTTAGAAATGCAGCAAATTGCACGTAAAGACACTGCCATTCAAGTTCATTATATGCGATTTCAATTCTGGGCACTAAACGAGCGAAAGCCACTGCATGAGAATTACAGCCAGTACCATAGCATTTTCAAAGAAAATTCAGCAAATGGCAGCTCTGGTAATTTATCGGAACATCTTTTCCTGATGTACAAACGGGAAAGTAATAATCCCCAAATAAAGAATCTTCTTCTGCTTTGTGTTGATGACCAGGGCTGTGGACAAGGAGGTAGCACCAGTCCTCCTGTATGGGGCCCAGTCCAGCAGGGGGCCCAGGCAGCTGGGTGAATTGGATGTAGGCAGGGAGGATGAATCAGCACAGCATGGGGGGGGGGGGGGGGGGGGGGATACTGGAACCAATTTCCTGCATAGCTATCTCTGTAGCAGCTGGGATGAAGAGGAGAAGAATCCAGGCAGGGAATCTGTTCCAATAATCCCCCCCCCCCCCCCCCGGCTGCACCTATCACCCTCCCTGTGCAACATATGTTCCCCCCCCCTGTATGCCCCCACCCCCTCAGTGCTGCTGGCACACAATAGGATCCTTCAGGATGGAGAGTGGGGGGAGGGTCTGGTAAATATGTCACATTCACCAACCCCTCCTTTCCTGAATGAACACAATGAGTGATTGGTACCAATCACTTACTATGTTCATTCATAACTGAAATATCGTAAAAGTTTTTTTTGTGGGTTTTTTTTGTCAGGTCAATTATATGGGGCCCTGTGGTTTCTAACAGCAGCTGTTGATGACAACCAGCAATTAGCAGCAATGCAGTTCCTTACATCAATGACCTTTCTATCAACTGCCTGATGCTCTGCATTAACGTTTGCTCACCTATTGGAGTTATAACTTGGCAGCGCCTCAGCTCCCAAAAAATATTAAATGCAAATTAATGTGACGTGTATATGTGCTATACTGGTAAAATGATATGTTGATTGTCATTATACTTTAAGTGACATTGGAAGTGAATTTAGAAAAGTGTACAAAGCTCAGGACCATTTTATGTGACATGGCATGACAAACATTTTGTTAGCTCGCCCTCAAGTGGCTAACATTCAAAATTACAGCAAGAAAGAAAAGAATATAATTTAAATGCATAACTGTCATGTTCCCAGCCCTCCTTTGGACTCTAAAGCTGACTGAGATGACTACAAAGGGTGTGGTTCAGCAGATACATGGACCAGATAAAAAGATCCAGATGTTACTTGAAAACATTGAAGGATGGCAGTTGAATTGATTAGAGGTTTGAAATGTGAGGAACTACAGATAGGGAGGGAAAATCACCAGCATGCTCGTCAGCTGCAAATTGAGCCAAAAGTAAGCACCACGTTATCAGATACCTAGTACAGGTGTACCTCAGTTTACAAATTTAATTCGTTCTGCGAGACTTTTCGTATTGTCAAAAATTTGCAAACCGAAAACGCGGTTTCCCATAGGAATGCATTGAAAACCAATTAATCCGTTCCAGAGGTCAGAAAAAAGTTTTAAAAAGTCTTTTATCTGTTCAAAACTCTTTGTAAAGTGCACATTAAAAGCATAAATACTGTACAGGGAAATGATTAAAAATGAATACGTAAATGCACTGAAAACCAATTAATCGGTTTTGGAGGTCAGAAAAAAAGTTTTATCTGTTCAAACACTTTATAAACTGCACTTTAAAGGCATAAAGGGACATGATTAAAAAAAAAATGTTATAAATGCATTCAAAACCAAGTAATCCATTCTGGAGGTCAGAAAAAAGTAAAAAAAAAAAAACTCTTATCTGTTCAAAATTCTTTATGACGTGCACTTTAAAGGCATAAATACTGTACAGGGACATGATTAAAAAAAATTCGTAAACGTATTGAAAACCAATTAATCCGTTCCGGAGGTCAGAAAATCAGAAAAAAAAACTTATCTGTTCAAAACTCTTTATAAAGTGCACTTTAAAGGCACAAGGCTGGCGCTATAAACTCTTCATACTGCGAAAAAAATTCGTAAACCGAGGCATTATTTTCAATGGATTTTCATTCGTACACCGAAAATTACATTAACCGAGGAGTTCGTAAACCGAGGTACACCTGTATTATGTAATTACCCCAATAAGGTGATTGACACAATAGAGAATACAATTACTAAAGAATATGGCTCTTTGAATATTTCAGTATACATTATGTATGCGACTCATTTTCAATGATCTTTTTCAAACTGCATGGATGTGCTGTGACACAACCCGATGTTTATTATTATCCTTCCCCTGAATTGTATTGTACAGTAAAACTCTTCTAATATCAATTTATTGAAACTAAATTTATACACACAGAGCTAAATGTATTGGGGAATTGAGCCAACTCCCCCTCCTTACACCTGGGTATACTGTTTTAAATGCTTTAAGGGTTTTAAAAAGATACAGAACATCTGTCTAAACCAGTCCACCCCCACAGTTATTACCTTTTGTACCACTAGCCCCTCCCTCCTAGATTGTAAGCTCCCAGGATCAGGGCTCTCCTATCCCTCTTGTATTGAACTGTATTGTTGCTGTATTGTCTCCCGTTATATTGTAAAGCGCTGAGCAAACTGTTGGTGCCATATAAATCCTGTATAATAATAATTTATGCAGCACTTTACATATATATTTACTGCAGCTGGAACTGTTGGCGCTATATAAATCCTGTATAATAATAATAATATATAAATCCTGTATAATAATAATAATAATATATAAATCCTGTATAATAATAATAAAAACATTAATAAATAATAATTAAGCCCTATCACTCTCACTTCATTACTTGCATAGATCTCCTCATTAAAAAGACCAAGAACTTGCTCTCACTTGGCATCAGGCGAAAGCATCTTCCATGTAATTAGAGTCTGAAGATTCTTAATCTTCTAATCTTCCATAATCACATTAATGCAACTTGAAATGGTTTATTTTGACATTTGTAATCCTCTTTGTCACAGTAAACAAGATAAACAATATTCTGGGCTGCCAATCTGACAGCACCCCCCCCCCCCCCCCCCCAAAAAAAAAATGTTAAAAGGTGGGGAGGTTTACCTTATGATTAAACACAGTGAGTGATCGGTACTGATCATTCATTGTGTTCATTCAGGAAAGGAAAGGGTGGCAAATGTGACATATTAATCACTCTTCCCCCACTCTCCATCCCAAAGGATCCTATTGTGTGCTTGCAGCTGCCGGTGGGAAGGAGAGGAGGGAAGCCGACAGCACTGCAGGGCTAGGGGCACACAGAGGGTTCTGGGCAACAGGGGAAATGTATAGTGCACAAAGAGGGTTATGGGTGCAGCGGGGGGCAATTATTGGAACCGATCCCCTATATGGCTCGCTCTGCAGCAGCTGAAAGCTGGCTTCTCCTTTCCCTTCCGCTGGCTTTCAGCGACCACCCCTTATCTCCCGATTAGACAGAATGAACTGTAGGCATTGTGCACATGCTCAGTTTGGTGTGTATTGCTAGAGAGGGTTTTTTTTTTTCTTGGGAGAGTGCATGTGATCAGCACAAGGCCAATCAACACTGTCCAGACAGAGGTCAGGGGTTTTGCATCCCCCTAGAGCAGAAAGAAAACTCCTCCTACAAGCTTTTGCTAGTGCTTGGCTGGATAGAAGTAATAGGACTGCTGTAACTGCTGATGAGAAAATATATTTAGCAGTTTATGTTTACTAAAATAATTGCATTTCCATGTTCTATGTACTGTGGGAGACCAGATATAGTGAATGCAGGGTCCGGGGAGACCAGATATAGTGAATGCAGGGTCCGGGGAGACCAGATACAGTGAATGCAGGGTCCGGGGAGACCAGATATAGTGAATGCGGGGTCCGGGGAGACCAGATATAGTGAATGCGGGGTCCGGGGAGACCAGATATAGTGAATGCAGGGTCCGGGGAGACCAGAAATAGTGAATGCAGGGTCCGGGGAGACCAGATACAGTGAATGCAGGGTCCGGGGAGACCAGATATAGTGAATGCGGGGTCCGGGGAGACCAGATATAGTGAATGCGGGGTCCGGGGAGACCAGATACAGTGAATGCAGGGTCCGGGGAGACCAGATATAGTGACTGCAGGGTCCGGGGAGACCAGATATAGTGAATGCAGGGTCCGGGGAGAGCGGATATAGTGAATGCAGGGTGCGGGGAGACCAGATATAGTGAGTGCAGGGTCCAGGGAGACCGGATATAGTGAATGCGGGGTCCGGAGAGACCGGATATAGTGAATGCGGGGTGCGGGGAGACCGGATATAGTGAATGCGGGGTGCGGGGAGACCAGATATAGTGAAGGCAGGATCCGGGGAGACCAGATATAGTGAATGCGGGGTCTGGGGAGACCAGATATAGTGAAGGCAGGATCCGGGGAGACCAGATATAGTGAATGCAGGGTCCGGGGAGATCAGATATAGTGAATGCAGGGTCCCAGGAGACCGGATATAGTGAAAGCAGGATCCGGGGAGACCAGATATAGTGGATGCAGGGTCCTGGGTTTAGTAACACTTTAATGAACGTTCAGGTCTAACAAAAGAGTGTGTAAAACCTCTGACCACAAAAATCACAATGGAATCAAATGGTACAATGATCTAATGAAATAATCTCAACATCCAAAAAAAAAAAACCCAATATAGAGAAAAAAAAATGACACCATATTCGATATAAGTCAAACAATACTGTAATAGAAATTAAAGCACACTCCCAAAGGAATATTTAGGGATCCTCTAGTGGGCCAGTGTGGGATCTTGTGAAAATAAAATATACCCCCTGAGGATGTCTCTTGCATAGATAAAACACATAGGGAAGGGTTAGCAGCCTAGGACATAATCACTCCTGCTGATATACCACAGTGTGGTTTTCAAACTTTTGTTACCTTGAGAGGCTTGTCAGTATATTTGCATAAAATACATTTTTTTAGCAATATTACTCTATGGTTCTCTGCATTTTCTCCTGAATCTTACACCGGAGAATTGCACTTTGCAACCAGCGGAGGATGTGGTGGGTACTGAGATTGGTACCATAGCCTGGTGTATCCTGTGCTACTGATCTCTTATAATCTGGAGATCATGGGTATGCAGTACGGGAATTCATATGTTCAAGGTAGTTTGGGACAAATACACATGGAACGGTGGTGTTTTATTTTCACACAAGATTCTAGACTGGCCCCTTAGTGAAGCCCAGACATATTCCATTGGGAGTAGACTTTTATTTTCACATAAGATTGTCTATATTGGCCCTTCAATATTTATTTGGGAGTGGACTTTAAAACATTGTTTGACTTGTATCCAACATGGTTCCAACTTTTTTTTTTCCCCACTATATTGATTTTATTCATTGATGTTGACATTTGTATCATTTTACCATTTGATTTCATTGGGCTTTTTATAGTCAGAGATTCTACACTTTTTGTAGATCATTTTGTTTTTCCTTGTATCTGGAACACAGTATGCAGCATTACCCCCTAGCACTGAGCGCATAATTACTTGGTGGTTTATTTATGATCAAGTCTGCCTAAATAACTGACAGGTGGGCCGGATAGGAAAGACCATGGGGAACCCTTTTTAGAGCTTTAGTCTACTCTTACGTTTTAAACACCACCTTGTTATAATTTTTTTTTTTGTTTTTTTTTTTTAGGGGTCAGGTGGACTGCACATGAAGCCTAGCCTGTAATAAAAATTTCCATGACCATATTTTAAATATGTTAAAAAAAATATATGGGCAATGTTTTTGTGCCTGTTTGTGCCAGGCTGCAGTAAGCAAATAAGCTCTCTGGGAATACCTGACAACCAGAAGAATCAGCTACAGTTGTGTTCAAAATAATAGCAGTGTGTTGAAAAAAGTGAATAAAGCTCAAAATCCTTCTAATAGCTTTTATTTCCATACACACAAATGCATTGGGAACACGACACATTCTATTCCAAATCAAAACATGAAGAAAAATATCAAATTTGTGTCGTTCCTCTAAAGAAATTGAAGAAAAGTGAATATTAGACTGTTCAAAAAAATAGCAGTGTTTGTATTCTTCTTTACAAACTCAAACATTCACTATATAAACTGAGAAATGTTTGAAGAATTTTCTTTCCTTTGAATCACTTAATGAATATTTGGTTGTAGTCGCACTGTTTGAGAACTGCTGTACATCTGTGTTGCATGGAGTCACCCAACTTCTGGCACCTGTGATCAGGTATTCCAGCCCAGGAATGATTGGACACATTCCACAGTTCTTCTCTATTCTTGGTTTTGCCTCAGAAACTGCATTTTTGATGTCACCCCACAAGTTTTCTATTGGATTAAGATCCGGGGATTGGGCTGGCCACTCCATAACATCAATCTTGTTGGCCTGGAACCAAGTTGTTGCACGTTTACTGGTGTGTTTGGGGTCGTTGTCTTGTTGGAACATCCATTTCAAGGGCATTTCCTCTTCAGCATAAGGCAGCATGACCTCTTCAAGTATTCTGATGTATTCAAACTGATCCATGATCCCTGGTATGCGATAAATAGGCCCAACACCGTAGTATGAGAAACATCCCCATATCATGATGCTTGCACCACCATGCTTCAATGTCTTCACAGTGTACTGTGGCTTGAATTCAGTGTTTGGGGGTCGTCTGACAAACTGTCTCCGGCCACTAGACCCAAAAAGAACAATCTTACTTTCATCAGTCCACAAAATGTTGCGCCATTTCTCTTTAGGCCAGTCAATGTGCTCTTTGGCAGATTGTAACCTCTTCAGCACACGTCTTTTTTTCAGCAGTGGGACTTTGCGGGGGCTTCTTGCAGATAGCTTGGCTTCACATAGGCGTCTTCTAATTGTAACAGTACTCACAGGGAACTTAACACCTTCTTTCATCTTCCTGGAGCTGATTGTTGGCTGAGTCCTTGCCATTTTGGCTATTCTTCTATCCATTCGAATGGTAGTTTTTCGCTTTCTTCCATGTCTTTCAGGTTTTGGTTGCCATTTTAAAGCATTTGCGATCATTTTAGCTGAGCAGCCTATCATTTTCTGCACTTCTTTATATGTTTTCGCCTCTCCAATCAACTTTTTAATCAAGGTACGCTGTTCTTCTGAACAATGTCTGGAACGACCCATTTGCCTCAGATTTTCAGAGAGAAATGCACTGTAACCAGCATGTACAACATTTGCTGCCTTCCTTCCTTAAATAAGGGCAATAACTGCCAACTGTTTTTCAAAGAATGAATCCTCACTCACTAATAGAACTCCACACTGCTATTATTTTGAACATGCCCCTTTCAATTAGTGATTAAATTACACAGAATCAGCAGCATGCATGTCATGACTGTTGGATCTGTTGGATTTCTATTACTCTGCTACACCTGCTAGTAAATTATTTGCCATGTAGAAATATCATTTCTACCAAAAACAGTGATTGATCAGGTTAGTGATATCTGACTGCTATTATTTTGAACACAACTGTATGCCATGGCTGCTCTCTTAGGGAGATTAGAAGTTCCTGCTGGATATAAGCATCTCTTATTGGTGCTGCAGATCATTTATTACTATATACACACACACACACACACAGCACCCTCTAGGGCAGGGGGTCTCCAAACTTTCAAACCAAGGGGCCAGTTTACTGTTTTTCATACTTAGGAGAGGCCAGTCTGTGTGAGTAGAAAGTGCCCTGGAATCAATGGGAGTAAACAATGTCCCATCACTGGTGTCAGTGGGAATAGTGCCCCATCATTGGGATCAGCGGGAAAGAATAGTGACCCATCATTGGGGTCAGCGGGAAAAATAGTGACCCATCATTGGGGTCAGCGGGAAAAATAGTGACCCATCATTGGGTCAGCGGGAAAAATAGTGACCCATCATTGGGGTCAGCGGGAAGAATAGTGACCCATCATTGGGGTCAGCGGGAAGAATAGTGACCCATCATTGGGGTCAGCGGGAAGAATAGTGACCCATCATTAGGGTCAGCGGGAAGAATATCTGGTTAGTGCAATCTACACCTATACCTTATCTCACCACTAATGTCATTATTACCAACTTTTACTTTGGATAGACTGCTATTTCATGTCGCACACTTCCATTAATCCTAGAATACTGGATAACCATTTATTTATTCGAGCTACCTGAATATTTATCTATTAAAAGAGACATTGTGTTCATACATTTTTTATGTCTACACATTCAAATTATTTTTCATATGATCACTAATGTTTATTCCAAGCGCTGCATTTTGTTTTATTTATTTCACATAGACGGTTTGGGGTTGTTACCTTTCATGCTAGCTGCTTTGACCGCACAGATCTAGCGCTCGTTTTAGATTTTATGTTTAGGATATAGGTTTTTTTTTTTTTTTTTTTCTGTTTATCAATGACTGTGTGGACCCAAAACACATCTGTTTCACAGACAGGGCAAGCGTTCTTCTGAAATCAGTTAAATCTTGTTAAGGGAAGAGTCGACACCAATTCTGCTTCCTGCAATTCTTCTTTAGGGAACTTGATCCAAACAATACCTTCTGTAAGAAAATGATTGGAACTACATATAATAAAAAAGGTACATCATAAAACATAGTTTCAACATTTCCAAATGTATTTTAATATCATTTTTTTTTTTTTTTTTTTTTTTTTTTTTTTTTTAATTCTTGGATGTTTCCTCCTAAACTTTCCATTACGAATTAATACACATTTGTCCTTCAAGTCAAAAATGAACAAAAAAAAAATAAAAATGAAAACAGTATTTTTATTATAATTATTCCTAGAGCAAAGTGAAACCCATATTAACAGAAACGAACACAGGCAAAAAGGAGAAAAAAAAAAAAAAACCAGAGGAGGAAGGGCAGTGTGAGAATTAGACATTTACCGGACGAGGTTATTCTTTAAATCAGGTTTCATCAATGTTGTCACACTGGTGTCACTATAAGTGATCATCCATTAGAAAGAGAAACATTTTAAAGACTTCGGTAAACTAGCAGACATCACTTTCAAGACCACGTAGGAAGTTGTACCCCATATGCTGCAGTGTGGTAGGTTACATATAAAAAGGGAGCATACTACGAGGTCCAGTTTGATACATTAGCTGCAGGTTTGTACTACATACAGGCTTTTAGGGACTATAGTCATCATGAGTGATTCCACCACCACCACGTGTGCACAGGAAAGGTTGTATCTAGAGGCAGGTCTAAATACTTCCTTATGAGAAACAATACCACCTCCATGGGATACAAGTGCCATTAACCACATTTATCAGCTGCACAACATATTGCGCTCTTCCCACGTACTCGCCAAAGCACACCCAGCATTTAAAGTGACCTTGTCATTTGCCCATGCGGTGCAGAACACAAGGTCATTGGATTTCCTCCCACCCCAGCAACACACATTCATTTTTCTTTAGCACTTTTGCAGCATCAGTGGCAAAGGAAATCAGCCCTGTGTAAGCTTTAAAGTAGAACTAAGCCCCTTTGTCCTTTACAGCCAGAAAAAAAAAAAAGCTGCCATCTCTACCCTCTGATCTGCAGTTTGCATGACGTTGCACTTGATCAGTTATGACTCTAGCATTTTGATGGCTTGACAGTTCAGCTGAGAACACAAGCAACTGAAACAGTTATTCTTCATGGCATGCCTTGAATCAAAGTGGGAAACCGTTAAATCAGGGCTTTAAGCTGTTTTGTCAGAGCGAGTCCTCAGCCCCCTGCAAGCACTATGTCACAGCATTGGGCATTCACCTGGCACCAGCGCTATCACCTAGAAGGGACGTAAAGCTGTCCATACATAGATCAACATTTAGGCAGTTTAGCAGGAACTGGCCGAATTTCAATCCATGTATGGCTGTTCTGATTCATGAGAAGTCAGATCTTATCGACTGACTTGTTGGAAAATTTTGCTTTGATCAACTCAAACAGCCAATCTGTTGCAGTGCTCATCAGTGTATTCTGACAATGGGGGGAGTCCTGCTGTTTGAACATATTCCTCCAACCACAAATTTGAGGTGGCTGGGGGAATCTTCCCCACTGTGTCAATGTCTTTTTTTTTTTCCATTCAGCCAAGTGGCTGAACACAAAAAAAAACAAAACAAAACAAAACTAAACCCTGTATGGCCATCTTAAGTCACACATTCCTGAGTATTTCTTTACTCCAGGCAGCTGAACAAATCAGCCAGATATTATATGCTGCTGGGGAGTTGAGAACACTACAGGATTTGCAGGTGGGAAAGTGATGACATTTTTTGCGTTGAAAGCAGAAACTATTCTTTTGCATCTGCTGTGTGATGAGACACCTAGCTCACAGGTGGGAAACCTCACTTTCATTATTCACTGTTTGCACTGCTAGTAATACGGAGCCATGTCAGAGCTTACGGAGCTTCAAAGAGGGCCAATTGTTGGTAGCTGGTGCCTCTGTGATTGAAGTTGCTTATTTGTCGTGTCGCGAGGTACAGTATCAAAGATTATGACGGCATATACAGTTTCCGGGGAAAGCGTCATCTGATAAGTATAGGTCGCCATGGTCAACTGACTGAAAAAGACAAAAAAGGACATTGCACAGGATCGTGACCCATACTAAGAAAACAACTGCTGCAAAAGTGACTGCAGAGCTCAATCCCAGTCCTTTGCAGACTCGCTTTCAACGCAAAACATGTTGTAACTTTCACACACTGTTCATTTAGAGTTCCCATTTTTTTTTGTCTAACTCCTATACATTTCACACAAAAGGATGGACTTCTATTGTGAACAACCACATCCAAGCACGCTACAGCAACTGCAGACTCTGCTGAAAACTCACTGCTACAGAGCCTAATTTTTAGCAACCCCCAAAAAAACTGCAAAGGCAGCAGATGGGGGTGTTTGCATCATGCTGCGGTCATGATTCTTTGCTACATGCCCAAAACTTTTGCTTTTGTCGTGTTTGGTGGGTACTAAGCCTATCATTCAAGTGAAAACCTCATTACCCAGATCCTTTTGGTTAATCAATTTGTCAATGCAGGTGTGAATGGAAGCGGAAACACCTTGCTTGGTTCTAGATTGGAATAACTGGCTCCTAAACTTCTACCTTTGTCTATTTCCCTTTAAAGAAAGAACACAAACCCCTTCCTGAACATACATAACAGATGAAGGCCACAGATCTGCCTGGATTAAATGTGAAATATACCCTGCACCCCTACTCTCACTTTAACCACAAGTTAGAAACTATCTGAAACAATTATGTGCTGTTTATTTTATATTGGACGTACCACAGGAATGGTCAGACATACAGTTTTAGGGGGGTTTGTGACACCTCCTACGTGGTCTATAAAGCCTCAACAACCTAGAAAACGACGGTCTGCGAGATTAGTCACTACTGCTGTGACCCCAAACACAGATAGCACATTTAGTAATAGTTGTTACTAAGGCATCTATATTATTTTGGCTAAGACAAAATCTGTCGTTCATGATCAAAGTGTAAAAGGGAGCGTGAGCTTTCAATACTCCTTTGGTTTCAGCCACTCACAATGTCTGTGAATGTATAGAATCAAATGCTAACAGCATCGATGCCACAGCAGGCATTGTACAGAGGTGCAAGCAGGCAAGTTACACACCAGCATTGTGTGAATGTCAGCATTTGCAAAGTTTTTTTTTTTAAGACATGTTTCAGCAAGATTCAGAAAAACCAGAAAGGCTCAAAGCAAAATTGCCACCAAATGTGAACAGGTTTACAGTGAAATTACATTTTTTTTTTCTTTACAACAGTTTGCAAAAGTGTGGTATATAACACATGAACAACGGCCCGCATTATATTCGCTGCAACTGAACTAAAACCACGGGTCAGCCAAAATCATGGACTCTTCAGGTCAGCAGTTACTACAGCATGCAAGGTTGTCTGCTGCTGAAACAGACCAGATGTCAACCATGGTAAGGCTTCCTCCTTCCTTCGCAGATCCCAATTACCAACGGTCTAGTATTTCAAACACAGCAAAACTCCAAAGAACAAATATTAAGAACCTTAATATTCAACTTTTTTTTTTGTTTTTTTTTTGTTTTTAAACTGCCTGGAAAAGTTGTACTGTGAAGATGAAAGGAAAGGCTAACACTTTCCTCTGTCCCTAGTAATATGGATTTCACTTTAATAAAAACCTATGCTCTGCCAGATTAAGCTTCAAAGTGGACCAATCGCCTACATAAAACTGAGGCAACCTTTTTTTTTTTTTGGTCTGAACCAATATTCTAGAACTAGAAAAAGACAGTGACGTGACCAGCTCCTACTAAACTTGAAGAATATCAGTCTAGACTAAAAAATAGATGTCCCCAGTCTCTGCAGGTGATGGATCGACTTTAAAAAGGTAACAAAATAGCTCCACTTCTAGGAAGGGCCTCGTGGCTTCTTATTATGAATAAGGGAGGCCGCAGGAATTTCATGTACCTTTCTGGCAAGTTCATTTGAATATTTCATTAAATGACGAAAGGGGAATCAGTACAGGTTTAAATATCAACAAGGAGGATGGGGAAGGGGGGCCCAAGTCCAGTCTACTAGGATCTGGTTCCCGAAAATCTTTTTATCAAAAAGTTTATTTTCGTTTAACGGTTGTCAGCTGTGTAGAGGAATAAGAAGTCCACAGAGAGGGGAGGGAGAGGGTTTGTTGTCCAAGTTACAGATCCAAGTCTACTGCCTTGTCATCTATTTTGAGGTCCTTGCCAACAAAGACTCAGGCTTCCACCCGACAGGGGGGTTGTGGATCTGTTGCAAGGCTCCATTTCAAATCCAGCTTTTTGTGGCTCTAATAAGCCAGTAATTGAAATGTTCCATGGAGCACTCGCTGCTCTCCGCCAAAAGGGAAGAAACATATTCCAAGGGAGCCGTGTAACTCCTCTGCTGACATTAACACAATGTGTAATGCAGCAGAGAATCAAATCTCATGCCTCATCCGTGCTCTCTCAGTTTGACAAGCTGTTGTTGGAGGAAGCAGATGTTGATGCTACTGCAGCGGTGGCTGGGCTATTGGTGGAGACCGATTTACGAATGTGCGGCAGTAGGTAGGGGTCAGATGCTAGCTGGTGGACATCTATCCGATCCTCCTTCCTATAGGCAAGGCAACGACGAATAAAAGCCTGTTAGAAGGGGGAAAAAAAAGGGATATATTGTGAATAACGAGGCACAGAGTTACCTTCAATCCATCTCCTTAGTACACAGAAAACAAAGGTGTCAGAGTATAAATACCTTGGCTTCTGGGGTCACAACTGGCTTTGGAGGAAACTGGACCTCTGTGGCTTTTAGGATGGTATTCTCTTGTAAGATGTCCTGTTGAGACTGGTTGTGACCAAATGGCTGCAAGATAAAATCACAGCAAACATGTTTCAGGTTACCAATTTTTAATGCATGAAGCAAAGGCAATAAAAAACTGTTTAGCCATCTGCTTTCCCCAGTTCCAGATAGATTTGAACCCACCAAGATTACTTTTCTTTGTGTGTCCCTCTGAGGAAATTCTCCTTTCAGACTTGGTGAATACTGTCGAGACAAAGTGATGGGGAATCCAGAAGTGTACGGTTGGCTTTACCGACACTTTCAGGATTTTAGTTTATAACCATAGTGGATATTTAGCCCTGGTTCACACTGAACGTGGCTTTGAAATCACACTATTTCAGCTGATGCAGTGCAATTTCAAAGCCGCCGGTCAGAGTGATTTCATATGCAACTTGCCGACATCTGTGCAGCTTCATGCACAGATGTCAATGCAGGTCGCACATGAAATCCGCAAAATTAGTGCAAGAACCTTTTTCAAAATCTGTGTTGGAGACGCACCAATTTGAACAGTTCCATAGACTCAAATAGGGTGCGCCTTGTCAAGCAATTCTGAACTGTCAAAAAGCATGACAAATCACACTGGTGTGAACCGGGGCTTAAAGCGATTCTGAACCCTGATATTACTCCAATTATTGGTGGAACACCACCAACATTTTACGAGTGGACCTGCTTTAGTAATAAAAGGTAAAATACCCTTTTCAACCTTTCATAATTAAGTCATGTGACTACTTTTTGCAGCACAACCTGGGCTGGGTTTGGGACTAAGCTAAAGTTGGTCACATGTCCCTCCCCCAGGCCATGCAAGACAGGCATCAGCTGAGGTGATGTCACAAAACATGTGACCTGCTCAGACTCAGCCCTACCCTAACCCAAGCCATAGGGATATAGATTACCAGAGTATTTCCTCCACAGCTTTTTAATAGTTTAGTGACACCAACACAGAAACATGGAGTTCCTTACTAGTACATGACTTAAAAGTGTAATCATGATTTAATAGGACTTTTTTTGTACTCAAAATCCTTTTCACCAGTCGTTCACTGGGGAATGCAGCTCAAGAAGAATGGATCCCGTGTACCTCAAAGACCACTGGAAAAAAAAACCGGATTCCTGATCCTCTATAAATCCATGAAAATATAGGACTGCACAAATCATATTCATGCCACACAAGATTTGTCAACATCAAAATCTGAGCACCAAGAACACAGCTTAGTCTAAGACGCATCTAACATATGTAAAGGCATCAGAAACCCCATTAAAATGTTCCAGCTAAAGTGCCTTTGACAGGACACAAGTAGCTAAGAGAATGCAGCAGTCATTAACCTCAATTTGCAACGTCCTAAAACACCATCAAGCCAAAACGTTTTAATAGAGTAAGGTCATAAATGCTGTGTCTGGTATGCTGTATACTCCTCAATACACATCTAACAGTCTGTTTTGTAAAATACACAGAGAAGTTTCAGACAATTTCCATAATTCCTTGTATCTGTATGAAAAGTCTTCCTCTGTTGGCTGAGATGGAGAGGTGGGAAGATGACATCACGATCACCACCTCCGCCAATCAGAAGAAGCCTTGTATTCGCTGACAAAATGTAACCGCATGCCGCCCAGCCACTGTAGCTATACGGCAGCAGGGCGGTACTCGCAGGCAAAACCACGTTGTAAAACGTGTGTTTTGTAAACAAATAGGGGGCGCGCGCGAGGCACGCCACCGCCCTATCTGTCCCGCCGATCACCGCCGCAGATGTGAGTCGCCAGGTCACAGCCGTTCCTTAGCGGCTGTTTCCCGGCGATCGGCGGCAAACAGTGACAGACAGCACAGCTGCAGTAGCTGTGCTGTCTGTCACTTCCCTGTCAGCTCGAGGATGAGCTGATCGAGAAAGAACGGTGTCTCTTTCTTGATCAGCCTTGCCCCGCCCAGTACACACCCCCGCCCCCTAGTAAAACACTCCCCTCACTCCTATAACCCTTCCCTGCAAAATAAAGTTAACTCCTTCCTCCCCAGTGCCATTAGTACAGTGTTTTTTTTTTTTTTTTGCACTGATCACTGTATTAGTGTTTTTGGGGATGTCAGTGACCCCAAGTCAGTACCCCCCAATGTCAGAATGTCCGCCGCAGTCCCGCCATAAGTCGCTGCCATAAGTCCCTGATCGCCGCCATAATTCGCTGATCGCCGCCATTATTAGTAAAAAAAAAAAAAACTAAAAATCCCAGTATCTTTCCCGCCATTTGTAAACGCTATAACTTTCACGTAAACCAATTAATTTACACGTATTGGTTTTTTTTTTAGCAAAGACATGTCGCAGAATGAATTTTGGCAGAAATTTATGACTAAATTTGATTTTTGCATTTTTTTTTTTACTGGACATGTTTTATAGCAAAATGTCAAAAATATTGGGTTTTTTCCCTCAAAATTGTCAGCCTTTTTTTTTTTATAGCGCAAAAAATAAAAACCGCACAGGCGATCAAATACCACCAAAAGAAAGCTCAATTTGTGGGGAAAAAAAGGATGTAAGTTTCATTTATGTACCGCATTGCATGACCGCGCAATTGTCCGTTAAACTAGTGCAGCGCTGTATAGCAGAAAAATGGCGTAAATTGCAGTATTTATACCATAGTTTGTAGACGCTATAACTTCCACACAAAGCAATCAATATACACTTATTGGGATTTTTTTGTACCAAAAACATGGAGCAGAATACATTTTGGCCTAAATTTATAACCAACTTTGAGTTTTACTATATATTTTTTATAGCTGAAAGTAAAAAATATTGTTTTTTTCAAAATTTTTGGCCTTTTTTTGTTTATAACGTGAAAAATAAAAAGCACACAGGTGATCAAATTAAACCGAAAGAAAGCTCTATTTGTGTGAAAAAAAGGACATAAATTTCGCTTGGGTGCAGCATTGCATGACCGCGCAATTATCAGTTGAATTAGTGCAGCGCCGAGTAGCAAAAAGAGGCCTGGTCATTAAGGGGGGGTAAATCCTCTGGAGCTCAAGTGGTAAAAGGTTTCCTCTGAATAGTTAAACAGTGCTCAGCCCAACTTCATTTTGTTCAGGCAGATCACAGTGCTGTATACTGTATGTAGGTGATACATAGCCAAAAAGGAACAATTAAAAAAAAGCACCAATTTAAAGCACCGTAAACACAGGAGTTAATCTTTAATTACGTAAACACCCTCTTCAGTGGTCAGCAAAAATGGCTGCATCACTCCTTTCCATCACAGATACACATAAAAAAGAGTCATTTGTGACAGCTAGGGACTCTGATACAATGGATCAGACTACTCTGCAAATCAATTACTGTGTACAGGACACAAAGAGCAGGCAAACTTTGCCAAGTACTTTTCACTTTTTATCTCACTTGCGCCGCTGTTATTGTTGGTTTTGTAATCGCTTTCTCTGTAAAATCTGAATGCACAAAATCAGAAATTAAAAAAATATGATTGCGTCTGCAAAGGCCACCATACATCAAAACACATTCCTCTCTGGGCGTGGTTCGGGAATGTCACAGACATTTCTTTCAGATCAGAACTGCTACAGCAGTTCTTGTGAACGATGTGTGTTTGCAACTACTATGTGTGTAAATGGTTAACTGCAGCTTTAACCAACCTTAGTGACAATCACTGTCTGTTGGTGCCTGGATGTTTGCCCTGTAAGCTGGAAAAATCTGTGCAGGGTGAAACTGAAAGCACAATTGTCATAACACTATTGTTTCTTTCTGCAAGAGTATCATAGGTGAAAGGAGAGCTCAGTAATTGCATTGAGGGGTCCAAGTGAACATTACCTTCCGCCCATACAGACACTGGTAGAAAATGACTCCTACAGACCAAACATCAACCTTGTTTGAAATTTTTGGGGGCTCTTTACCAACCACAAAACATTCAGGAGGCAGGTACCTGGAGGAAAAAAAAAAGTCTTATGTTTATATAAATAATTTATATATAATTTTATATAAGAGAAAAGCCTTTAAAAAAATAGTACTCCACTTGCCATTAATCATCAAAGAATACCAAGAGGAACACATCCACTTACATAATATTATATTTGTATGCCCTCCTAAAAGGTCTACAGAGGGGGTCAGCAACCAGTAGATCAGATGACTGGTAGATCACGGCCTGGGTTTGCTGACCCTCCCATCCCAGAGCATCAGAGTGCAATGGAGAGGGACTACTTGTAAAGTTGGAGCTGTAGTAGGGGGCAAGAGCCGCATAAGCTGATGCCTCCTCTGTAGTGCCGGCTCCTGTCCCATGCGAAGTGATACCAACTGCACTCCACCTCTTATCCCCGCTAGCGGTCTCCAGAGTGGTCAGTGTCTTCAGGTCAGTGTGAAGTAAGCTGGGCATAATAGAGGGCTGCTTTCACACTGATGGTCTGTGGTTTACCCACACTGTGGGTTCAGTGCAGTGTACCTGCAGCTTTCCTGTGGGTTTGCTGCCCTTAGCCATAAACATCTATTATATCCTACGAGTTTTGGTGCGCTTTCAGGAAGTGCACCACACCTGTAGGATATAGAAGTCATCTATGGCAAAGCTCAGCAAAGTTGAAAGTTGCAGAAGCACTGCACTGCACCCACGGTGCAGGTAAACTACAGCACATCAGTGTGAAAGCAGCTTTACAGGTGGGATCAAAACAGTAAGGGTTAATTTACATTTGCAGTTTTTGGGGGGGGGGGGGGTGTAAAAGGTATAGTTAAGATGTGTTTTTATCACCCCTGCCCAAACCACAACCCCTTTAGCTGCAGTGGCCAGGAGTGTACACATGTCACAGCCGAAGCAGGAGTTACCCGTCCTGTCATGGTTGGTGGGTGTAGCACCTGCCAAGCATGACCCATTCAAGTGAATGAGGCCGCCCTGCAACCTTTTGCAGTACAGCAAACCAGGGGGTAAAAGCAGGCAGTGTTGTGTTGCTTTCTGACCACCTGCTTTAACCCCTTGGATCCCACACAAGCATGCAGTTGCAGGGCCCCATTTACTTGAATGGGTTGTGATTGGCAGGCGTTAGCACCCACCAAAAGCAACAGGGGGCTTAAATCCTGCTGTGGCATGTGTACACCTTTGGCAGCAGCTAAAGGGGGTAGGGATTGGGGGCAATAAAACTGCAACTCAACTGCAGGGTTTTGCCACCCCCCAACTTTAGGTGTTAACAAGCCCCAAGGGTACCAATACAGAATGCAACTAAGGGCTCATTCACAAGTGAAACAGGCACTAATGCTCCTCTGAAAAACAACCCGAGTGTCTTTGCAAGGTGGTGAGGATGCGATATGGTGCCTCCTCACTACCTGATTTAAACCCATGATTGCTTTGTAATGCATGCAATTGCGACACGGTAGTACAGCAATTAGAGGTTTAAATCAGGTGTGAGGGGGCAACACTGTGCCTGGTGATCTTTGTCTTCTCCCATGTTGTTCACGTAGATCCCCACCTCTTTAAGGTTGCCTGCCCCTGGCCTACAATACATCTCCACGCGATAGACATTCTATAAAGTAATCTTAAAATATATTTTTTAGGCACAATGACTTAAGTCCCTCTAGTCTATGCCATGGAAATACTGTTCTACGTGGTGCCACTTGACAGGGAACTCCCTGCTGCATGCTCTAATTCACCTGCCCTCAGACCACAACTAGGGACAGCACATCGACAAAGGAGGAGAGGTCACTCTGGCTTATGAATAAAACAAATTATGCCTCGGCCAGCAGTAGTAGATTTCTTAAATGACAGATAAAAAACCTGCACTTTGCTTATCACTTACCAGTAGGTTCCAGCCCCTTGTGACGTGAGCTCCATGCCATCCACTGAGTTATAGCTGTCATCATCCATTATTTTAGAGAGTCCAAAATCTGTGATTTTTATCTCTCCGCAGGCAGTACCATTAACCAAAAGGATATTACCTACCATTGAGAGTACATTTATTATATTAAAAAATAGTTTTTACTTCTAAATAAAGGCTTTATTACAGTATGGAAAACTCTTACAAACAATGGTCATAGTTTATCAGACGCCATTAATGAACTTGTGTTCTCTGGGCTGTCATGTGGCTTGGAGAACCATAAACCAGCTCAACATTTTTTCATTACATACGAGACGGTAGAAAATTTTATTCATCTTACACTTTTTTTCTTATCCACCATCTCAGAGAACGGTTTAACAGCTGTAAGACTGCAATTGACCACTAGGTGGGGAAACCTGCAAGAGAACTAAATCAGCTCTCTACAGCAGTGGTCTCCAAACTGCGGCCCACAGGCCGGATGTGGCCCTTTGCTTGCCTTTATCTGGCCCTTGGGACACTCTTCCTCCCACAGACACAATAATGGGGGACCATTCCTTCCACAGACACCAATAATGGGGGACCATTCCTCCCACAGACACCAATAATGGGGGACCATTCCTCCCACAGACACCAAAGATGGAGCATTATTTCCCCAAGAGACACCAGTGATGGGGCATTATTCCTCCTTTGAAAGCCAACAATGGGGCATTATTCCTCCAACTGAAACCAACAATGGGGGCGTTATTCCTCCAACTGAAACCAACAATGGGGCGTTATTCCTCCAACTGAAACCAACAATGGGGCGTTATTCCTCCAACTGAAACCAACAATGGGGCGTTATTCCTCCAATGAAACCAACAATGGGGCGTTATTCCTCCAACTGAAACCAACAATGGGGCATTATTCCTCCAACTGAAACCAACAATGGGGCATTATTCCTCCAACTGAAACCAACAATGGGGCATTTTTCCTCCAACTGAAACCAACAATGGGGCGTTATTCCTCCAACTGAAACCAACAATGGGGCATTATTCCTCCAACTAAAACCAACAATGGGGCATTATTCCTCCAACTGAAACCAACAATGGGGCATTATTCCTCCAACTGAAACCAACAATGGGGCATTATTCCTCCAACTGAAACCAACAATGGGGCATTATTCCTCCAACTGAAACCAACAATGGGGCATTATTCCTCCAACTGAAACCAACAATGGGGCGTTATTCCTCCAACTGAAACCAACAATGGGGCATTATTCCTCCAACTGAAACCAACATTGGGGCATTATTCCTCCAACTGAAACCAACAATGGGGCATTATTCCTCCAACTGAAACCAACAATGGGGCGTTATTCCTCCAACTGAAATTAACAATGGGGCATTAATCATCCAACTGAAACCAACAATGGGGCATTATTCATCCAACTAAAATCAACAATGGGGCATTATTCATCCAGTTAAAACCAACAAGGAGGCATTATTCCTTGCACTAAAAGCAAGGATGGGGCATAATTCCTCCCGCTAAATCCAAGGATGGGGCATTGTTTACCTTCAACTGGAGCTGGGTCTTATTTTACTCCCACTGGGAACAGTCAAGAACCCCCCCCCCCCCCAAGCCGAAAGGACAGTAAATTTGCCCTTTGTTTAAATAGTTTGGAGACCCCTGATCTACAGCATAGTACACCTAAGAGCACAAACCCCCCCATTGATGCTTCCAAATGTTATTCACACCTCTGTGTGTAAATTAAACAAGCAATGACAACACATAATGCCTACCTGGCTTTAGATCATAGTGTATTATTGGTGGCTTGATCTCATTCAAGTACTTGAGAGCATTTACAATCTGCATGATGATGGAGCGGGCCTCCTTCTCTGACATAAGCTTGTGCTGTTTCAAGTAGAAGTCGAGATCGTTGCCCTCGCAGTACTCCAGCACTGTGCAGAACCTGTATAATTAGGAACATTTTTATCGAAGCTCACCAACAGAAAATCAGAGGAACACTGAAATTACAGATATAAACCTATTTTTTTATTTTCTTAGCAATTGTGGGAACAATTTATATAGAATCCAGTGCTCGACACCATCAATAAATGCATGCACAAAGCCATTTTGACTGCACAGACTAAAATAAACCAGAATTAATAATTTCCCTTTGAATAAACCCCTTAATCCAGTGGTCGGCAAGCCGCGGCTCGCGAGCCACATGCGGCTCTTTACCCAGTCTAATGCGGCTCTTCTGTCTGTGTGCCGGGCGCCTGCTCCCCTCCCTCCTCTCGGTCGGCCGCTCCCCTGCCTCCTCTCAATGGGGTTGGCAGCCCCAAAAGTCCGCGCGGACCTTTTAATCCGGCCTGCGGATGTGGCTGTCAGGATGTGTGTAGGCGGGGCAGCGTGCCGAACGTGAGGGGAGGGGAGCTAGGCTCCTCTCACAGTCCGCCCTGAAGACCCGAAACGGCGCGGGAAGACAGCGAGAGGAACGCAAAAGGTAAGTGAAATTGACACGGGGGACTTGGCTTACTAGAAGGGGGGGGGGGGAATAGTACTGTGGGGGATGAAATACTATATGAGGGATGAATTACTTTATGAGGGATGAAATACTATATGGGGGGATGAAAATACTATATGAGGGATGAATTACTATATGAGGGATGAATTACTATATGAGGGATGAAATACTATATGGGGGGATAAATACTATATGGGGGGATGAAATACTATATGAGGGGATGAATTACTATATGAGGGATGAAATACTATATGGGGGGATGAATTACTATATGAGGGGATGAATTACTATATGAGGGATGAAATACTATATGGGGGATGAAATACTATATGAGGGATGAATTACTATATGAGGGATGAAATACTATATGGGGGGATGAAATACTATATGGGGGATGAATTACTATATGAGGGATGAATTACTTTATGAGGGATGAAATACTAATGGGGGGATGAAATACTATATGAGGGATGAAATACTATATGAGGGATGAATTACTATATGAGGGATGAAATACTATATGGGGGGATGAAATACTATATGGGGGATGAAATACTATATGGGGGGATGAAATACTATATGGGGGATGAAATACTATATGAGGGATGAAATACTATATGAGGGATGAAATACTATATGAGGGATGAATTACTATATGAGGGATGAAATACTAATATGGGGGGATGAAATACTATATGGGGGGATGAAATACTATATGGGGGGATGAAATACTATATGATACAACATATGAGGGATGAATTACTATATGAGGGATGAAATACTATATGGGGGGATGAAATACTATATGGGGGGATGAAATACTACAATGAGGGATGAATTACTATATGAGGGATGAAATACTATATGGGGGGATGAAATACTATATGAGGGATGAATTACTATATGAGGGATGAAATACTATATGGGGGGATGAAATACTATATGAGGGATGAAATACTATATGGGGGGATGAAATACTATATGAGGGGATGAAATACTATATGGGGGGATGAAATACTATAAGGGGGGATGAAATACTATATGGGGGGATTTTTTACTATATGGGGGATGAAATACTATATGAGGGATGAAATACTATATGAGGGATGAAATACTATATGGGGGATGAAATACTATATGGGGGATGAAATACTATACGGGGGATGAAATACTATACGAGGGATGAAATACTATACGGGGGATGAATTGCTATGGGGGATGAATTACTATATGGGGGATGAATTACTATGGGGGATGAATTACTATATGGGGGATGAATTACTATATGGGGGATGAATTACTATGGGGGATGAATTACTATGGGGGATGAATTACACTATGGGGGATGAATTACACTATGGGGGATGAATTACTATATGGGGGATGAATTACTATGGGGGATGAATTACTATATGGGAGATGTATTTTCATTTTTTAAAAATGTGGCTCTCAAAATAAATTTCAATCATGGTTTTGGCGAGATTTGCTCAGTTGAAAAAAAAGGTTGCCCACCACTGCCTTAATCCATCCCCAACCAAAAAGGGCCAATTTACTAAATGAATTTAGGTTTTTCATTTAAAAAAAAACTTACTAAATATCTACTTCAATTGTCCAATTACTTGAAAAGCACATGGTTGATGTTCAAACTTTTCACACAATAAGATAATTTAAAGAGAATAGTCACGTTTTGAGTGAAAATGCTCTACTTATTAATCATTATTTAGGAGCCAAGTACTGACCTCCATTGGATTCCACGTCAAATTCAGTGCCACGATCTGCCCAGTGATCTACGCATTATTAGATATACTAGGTATCCCGATCACATACAATGATCATAAGCATGCCTGTATTCTAACAACCAGCAGCAATCCATTTATTTATATAATCAGACACATGCAGGAGCAATTGGATCACTGACTCCAAAAGAGGATATGCTGCAGCACAGTGAACTAGGATGTGTAAACTCGGTTTATGGCCAATACTTATTCCAACAGTTTTTAAGGGGTTATCGTGTTAATAAGGACAGTCCTAGCTTAAGAATTCAGTTACTCTCCTATAAAACAAATCATTTCCAATTGTAAGTACTGGAGTAGCGTCTTCCCCACTGGGTCAGACCTGCTCACTCACATCAAGGATGAATGTGTACGCACAAAGAGAACATTGCTACACTGGAAAAACAGAAGAGGCATAGAGAAATCCTTAAAGGATAAGATCACCTGTGGGAACATGTCACACGTTCTACATGCTGCACCCACTGCCAGATTCCCCCCCTCCCTGTGACAGCAGTATGGGGAGAAGTCTCCCGTATAAGCTGTCATTTTTAAAAACAGCATGGCCGTGCAGGGCTCTGCCCACATGGCTGCGTTACTCATTCACAGAGTTCTATGAATGAGTGAACTACAAGTTCCGTCACCCTTAGCGGCTGTCGGCACGTAGTGCTCAATGAACGACCACGGTGCTGTGGAGTGCCGTGGTAGTTCATTGATTCTGTCAGTATATCTGCTTGCTGTACGGGCAAGCAAGTAAACTGACAGATCTGCAGAAGACCTGCATGGCACCAGAGATCTGCTAATTGCTAGTGCAATGGTTTACTTGCTCCTGCAACATAAAATTGTAAACGCATGTTTTTTTACCTGCAAAAAATGTGCATTTATTATTTTTTGTCAAAAAGGTGAACCTATCCTTTAAACAGCAAGGCATTGGTCTCTGCAGTGGGAGCTCCGTGCTGAGAACCATCACCAGCTTCCTGGTGCAGGGAGCTAATGTATTTATACCCATTTACTGCTGGGAACACCAGCCTAAGTCAATTCAGTCATCCTCTGACCACAACTATAAGCATGACACAAACTCAGGCTCTCATTTTTGTAGAACTTATAAAAAACATGGCCATTTTCAAATCATGCATATCATAATGCATGGCCACTAAACTACATCAAGCCCAAAATGATTCACTTCCACCTGGGGATAAAAGGAAACAAAGCATATTTTGCACATAGAACACCATCACTGCAAAGCGCATGCATAGCTACTTACGAGTCTGTGTCGAGAGAGAAATAATCATATAGTTTGACTATCCTGGGGTGATCAAGCTCCTTGTGAATACGGTATTCCCTGCAGGCATGCCTAGAAGATGAAAATGAAGAATAAAAACAATGAAAGCTTTAAAATTGATAACAAGGCATAGACAGCTGCTGAAAAACAAGTAGATAAGCATCAGCAAAGTGCCTCTTTATAGGATAATTACATTTGTGGTGACCTGCCTGAACAATTCTGAACAATTCATTTCATTTACAGCCCTAGCCTAGAAGATGTGTTATTCAAAAGCCTAGATCAGAACATTGTGACTGCACAGGGCCCTCTATAAGGGACGAGGCAAATTAAACGTGACATGAAATGGGCTCAAACCCTTTCACTGCCAGTGCTTTTTTTGGGGGGGGGGGGGGGGTGTTTGCTGCACACGTTTAAAAAAAAATTATTTTAGTCTTGAAGATTACATAAACCCCCCCAAAAATCGTATATTTTTTCTTGAAAAAAAAGACACCCCACAAAACAACATAGCGGTATTTATAATTTTTTGTGTTACACAATATTAGTGCAAAGGTCTAGGATACACACAATTTTTTGCGTGTGTAAAATGATGATAAACTTCAGCACTCTATATTTTACATAGGTGACATTGAAAAGCCCCTACAGGTCATCAGTTTAGAGCAGTGGTCTTCAAACAGAGGCCCTTTGCTAACCTTTACCTGGCCCTTGGAGCACTACACATCTCAGCTACAATGGGCACTATTCCTCCAGTGACATGAGGCACTATTCCTCCAACTGACAGCTACAATGGGGCACTATTCCTCCCACTGATACCAATGATGGGGCACTATTCCTCCCACTGACACCAATGATGGAGCACTATTCCTCCCACTGACACCAATGATGGAGCACTATTCCTCCCACTGATACCAATGATGGGGCACTATTCCTCCCACTGATACCAATGATGGGGCACTATTCCTCCCACTGATACCAATGATGGGGCACTATTCCTCCCACTGATACCAATGATGGGGCACTATTCCTCCCACTGATACCAATGATGGGGCACTATTCCTCCCACTGATACCAATGATGGGGCACTATTCCTCTCACTGATACCAATGATGGGGCACTATTCCTCCCACTGATACCAATGATGGGGCATTACTCTTCCTCTTACTAACCATCAACCCTGAGGGAAAGTTTATTCTCACTGATGCCAGGTCAAGAACATTTTCTACCCTCATTGGCCATAATCCCCCAGCCCCCTCTAAAGGCTGACCAACAGTAAACTGGCCCTTTGTTTGAAAAGTTTGGAGACCCCTGGTTTAGAGCAGCCCGGGAATTCTGGTGTTAAAATTTTTGCTCTCACTCTGGTGTCTGTGTGGAGATATGTAACATGTGTACTGCAAACGACATTTTTGTTACATTTAAGTTCAGGTCATGCATGTTACAAGAATATGTTAAACCCCGGTGTAACTACTCACTTGTGGTAGTTTTCTTTCTTTTCATCCCTCCAGTTCTTATTTAACTGGTGGATTTTCACAGCTACGTATCTTTGCTCCGTTAGGTCAAATGCCTGCAGAATAAAAAGAAATTGTTAGTGGACAGAACAGATCGACTTTACTGTTTTTATTTTTCTTTTTTTAAATCCAACAGCCTTTAGGGCTTGATTTTCACTTTTATCATGCATTACCACCCACACGGTAACAGACCTTTAAATGCACATGCAACACGGTACACATCTGTGAATTATAGTGCGCTTCAATGCAATGACACCACAAGGCACTGCATTTCATGTGTTTTGTAAAACACAACTTTTACACTCTGCGTTACACAACATTTAAAAACTGGAGGGATCAGACAACTAAAAATATTTTACGTCGTATGAGAAACAGCATTTTGCTTGTAATGTCAAGATAAAGTACATTTTTTTTTTTTTTTTACGCAAAGTATAAATGCACCCTTATGGCAATTACCTACCTTATACACTTCACTGAAGCCTCCTCTGCCCAACAGATGTAGCAGTAAATACCTGTCGTTTAGCGTGGGATGGTCTTTAAATCTAAAATATTGAAAAGAAAATCAGATATTTCTAATTTAAGGCAATCTGTTCATTTCGGCTGCCAAGAAAAAGGTATTACATGTGGTATGAGCTCATAGAACACTTTAAATGCCTTGAAAATTTATACAGTAAATAGACCCCCTATGCTAAAAGGAAGATAAAGGTGGCAGTTATGGGAAAATGTCACATGACTAAGTAGAAATAAGTAGCTTTTGTATCAAAGCTTGTTTCCATATTAAGGCAATATTCTTAATGGAGGTAGTTCTCAAAATCAGTGCTAGTAGAATTTGCCCTTCAAGTTGCAATTAGTACACATCTTCCCCATTAAGGCCGGCCATACATGGGTTGAAATTTGACTGATTTTCATCCGAAAATCGGACCTAAGAATAATCGGCCGATTTTCGCTCTGTTAGTGGGTCAATGGCACTGGCCGATTTTTGTGGTTCCTCCCCTTTTCGGTGAATGGGCATGTTGGAAAATTCATGAAAAACGACTGATTTTCGACTCCATGATGGTCAAATCGTACGATCGTTTTTCCGAAAGGAAAATGCGCATGAGCCTTGACCTGGAAGGAACAGAAGTTTTGCCTGGTTTATGGGGTGAACTTTAACTTTATGACTTGGTTGGCCGATTTTCAAAATCATTGATGGCATCATCGGATTACTGAGCGAACGTTTTTGATTTTTGGACAAAAAATCATTCGGAATTCGACTCCTGTATTATTATTACAGGTACTTCTATAGCACCATCAATTTACACAGCGCTTTACATATATATTGTACATTCACATCAGTCCCTAACCCTCAAGGGGTGTACAATCTAAAGTCCCTAGCCTACATTCATACACACTAGGGCCAATTTTAGATAGGATACAATTAACCTATTAGCATGTTTTTGGAGTGTGGGAGGGAAACTGGAGTAGGAGGAAACTGGAGTACCCGGAGGAAACTGGAGTACCCGGAGGAAACCCACGCAGGCACAGGGAGAACATGCAAACTCCAGGCAGGTGATGCCATGGTTGGGATTTGAACCAGTGACTCTAGTACTGCCAGGCGGAAGAGCTAACCATTTAGCCACTGTGCTGCCCATGGCCTGCATAACCGACAGGAGCACAGCTGCATTAATTAGTCACCTTTGTAGAACACTACAAGCACTATATCACCTCTGTGAAAACTGTAAAGCATGCATTGCTTTGGATTTCTTGCCCCACCCATGCTCTGCATGCCTAGGTTCCTTCCACTATCCCTACATCCCTTCTGCATTCTGTAGTGCCATAAAGGCTAATGGAAGCAATCACAGTGCACAGTCAGGGACCAGGCATCCACCACACTTGGATGTGTGCTAGATGTGAAGAGGCCACTGCTCTGTAAGAGCAAAATATTGGAGAACAGGTAGCCGGTCAGGTGATTATAAAGCCTTGTCTTCTGCAGGTGGCGGTGTTTCATATTTTTACCCCCGCAACAGCACCCCCTAGAGACTGGAGGAGATCACTTGCTTTTCCAGAAGAGGGCTTCATCAAATGCTTGCTGTTCTAGTTCATCCTTGACAACCATTATATCCTCTCAAACGTGTGACATTACATTTTGTCACTTGCTAAGCCTGACATACCATTACACCACAGCCTACAGACACAGTACTACACATGGCAGTATGTCTATAGAAATGGTTCGCCATTTGTGTGCCAATCTCAGGAGAACCATCTGCTTTCAAAGTCCAAAGTCCAGTGCACTTACTGTGAGTTATCTTCATTATGTATTCTTTTCAACTCCCTAATGTGCAAATTTCTGACCCTTTCGAGCCTTTCTAGCTCCGCTTGTATCTCAGCCTCTTCCTGCAATACAAATACCACCATGAATTTTTTACATTACCATGAAAATTAGGACTGATATTGGGAAGGACTCGGACTTGGTTACTTACTTTTTTAAGGTGACCTAATCGTAGTTTGAATATCTCCTCCTGTTCGTGATATTCAGCTAAGGTTAACCTAAAAATAAATAAAATTAAATTAAAATTCCCTAAAAGGAAATCTGTCACTTTTCCATAAACCCCCACCCCCCCTCTGCCAATAACATATTTTTTTGTATTACAAAGAAGAAAAGTAGGAAACACAAGTGTTTAGGTCCATATTCAAATGCTTGGTAACAGGGAAAAAAAGCAGACATTAGCAACAAATGGCAACCCGTTTCATTCACAAACAGGCACTATCCTACTTACGCTTCATTCTCTGCACCGTTGGTCTTATTTTTGCGCTGCTTTTGCTCATTGTTTGCAGGTGGCATTTGTCCCATTGCTGGGGGCTTCCGTTTGGCCAACAGCTTCCGTTGCCGTTCAATCTCTTCCCTTTGGGAGTTTATCCTTTCTTGTTGCCTAGAAGAAAAAACGGAAAAATACAATATATGGGGGTGTGCGCGCACACACACACACACACACACACACACACACACATGTACATACATACATACATACACACATATATATATATATATATCACAAATAAAAAGCATAAATGAGTACAACTCTTTTGAAAAATAAGATTTTAATCAATTTCTCAATGAACACAAGAACAATTTCCAAAATTTTGACAAAACTGAGTTTTATAGAACATTTGTTTAGCTCATTACATGAAAATAAGGTTAATATAACTTCACAAAATTAGATAAAAAAAAACTGGGATGCCTAACAAGGAAAAATGGATTGGCAATAATATAAAGATAGAGTCCCAAAATTGGGTAACTCAAAAGTTACATGCAGGTAAACATAGCCGACTCACTAAATGTGATACAAAAAGTGGTGTCCTCAGAACCAATTATATTGTAGTAAGAAGAGACAAAAAGAACCAGGGGAAAGAGGTACATTGGCATAGAGTGGACCTCTTTGCCCTGGTTCTTTGTCTCTTCTTTAGTATAATAACATGGATTACAAAATCTTCAATTTTACTCAAATTTAGTTGATGCAAAAAGGAATCCACCCCACAACAAAAAACTACTCCATCTAGTATTTTGTATGACCTCGATGATTTGTAAGCACAGCACCAAGTCTTCTAGGCATGCATTGAACAAGTTGGTGATATCTATCTTTTTCCATTCTTCAAGAACAACCTCTTTTAGAACCTGGATTGAGAGTGATGTTCAACTTGTCTCTTCAGAATTCCCCATAGGTGTTCCATTGGGTTCAAATCAGGAGACATACTTGGCCACTGAATCACGTTCACCTTGTTCTCCTTCAGAAATGCCAACAGTGGCCTTAGATCTGTGTTTTGGATCATTATGTTGGAAAAGTGCACAACGACCAAGGGCATGGAGTGATGGTAGCATCTTCTCTTTCAATATAGAGCAGTACATCTGTAAATTCATGATACCATCAATGAAATGCAGCTCCCTGACACCAGCAGTACTCATGCAGCCCCACAGAAGAACACGGCCACCACCATGTTTCACTGTAGGCACCATGCATTTTTTTTTTTTGTACTCACGTTTGCAACGTCTACAGCTTTGAAGCCATCAGTTCCAAAAACATTTATCGTGGTCTCATCACTTCAGCGTACAGACTCCAAGTAGTTTTTTTCAGCATGGGCCCTGACAAATTCTAGGCGGGCTTTTTTGTGCATGGGCTTTAGGAGAGGCTTCCTTCGTGGACAACACCCATGCATGCCATTCCTCTGCAGTGTACGCCATATTGTGTCACAGGAAACAATCACCCCAGTTTGGCATTCTACTTCTTTAGCTAACTGTAGTGAACGTGCATGGCGATTTTCCTCAACCCTTCTCATCAGAAGATGCTCCTCTCAAGGTCTTAACTTCTATGGACGGCCTGGACATTTCAGTGAGATGGATGCAGTTCCATCTTTGTTAAATTTTTGTATCACTTTTGCTACAGTATTCTGACTGATAAGTAAAGCTTTCCTGATCTTCTTGTAACCTTCACCTTTCTGGTGTAAAGAAATTATTTTCTCTTGCTCAGGCCTTGTGACATTTCTCTTCCATGTGGTGCCATTGATGACAGCATGAAATGGGAAGGGGTTTTCTTTGTTAAGTAACGCCCTTTTATAATCAACTGACTGCTGGACACCTGTTTAATGAAAAATGTGTTTCATCTATAGTTGAATTCTTGTTAATTAGGATTTTGTCTAAAGTTTAGCTTTGCTCCTAAGACTTTCATTGGGGTGTATTCATCTTTACAACATGGTCTTGAATGAATTTGTTCTAAAAAAAAAATACTTTTTTTGTGTGTGAAAATTAACAAATCTTGTTTTGCAATTAATGGCCCGCATTTGTGGAAATATTTTGGAGTATAGTGTCCCATACAAAAAGTTAATTCCGAAAGGAAAGTAAAGGTTTTCTTACAAATCTGTTGGGGTGTACTCATTTATGCTTAGCACTGTGTGTGTGTGTAATAAAATAATACACACACACACACACACACACACAGACACACACCAAATACACACACACACACACACACACACACAAACCAAATATGGATACTGCAAGAAAGAAAAAGAAAATCTCCACCCAGACATAACCCTTTCCAGCTCAACTAAACCTCAAGCACTGAGGAACACAAGAGGGGAGGGGGGTAATTTCTGTGATGTACTCAAGAAAAGGATCTTACAGGGGAATTTCTTAATCATACATCACAGGACACAGAAGAGTTAATATTTATGCCTACTTGGAATGTCCCAAAGCACTGAAAAGGAGGAAAGGGCAATAAAATCCCCAAACTAAAGAGGAGGGAATCCTCGCTAAGCCACAGAGGCATACAAATCAACCTGGTAGTGAACCTAGTAAACATATGATGAGTAGACCAGCTAGCAGCCTTACAAACATGAAAAACAGAAGCTTGATGCTGAATAGCTCAGCAGAACTGACACTACCAATAGATTGGGCCTTAACCAGGAAACGAGGAACCTTGCCCTCCATCCCATAGGCCTGAGAAATGAGCTGACAAACATACTTTGATATAATGGATTGAGAATCCGATGGAGCCTTGCAAGGACCCTTCGGCAGGTCCAATAGGGAAAGCAAACTGCTGAATTGAAATTTTAGATAAACTTGAACAGCTGTTACATCATCCAAACAGTTAAACACCTTCTTCTTAAGATACTTAAGATGTGGGCAAAGAGATGGAAACACAATACTAGATTGAGGTGGAACAAAGAGGGGTAGAAAAGAGGATCAAGGCCTCAACACCAACCTATCCTGGTGAAGTAGTAGCAGAGGTTCCTTACAGGAAAGTGCAGCCAACTCAGTCTCTGCGGACCAAGGTAATGCCAACCAGAAAGACAACCTTGCATGTAAGAAACAGTAAGGGAATCCCTTGGGAAAGTTCAAAGGAAGAAGACTACAAAACCAGTAAGACCAAGGTAAGGTCCAATGGAGACAGAGGGGGCCACACCAGAATCCATGTGACACCCAAAACCAAGGAATGAGAAGCAATACGTCTCTGAAAAAGCATGGGCCCAGGATGAGATTTGTCCGTGATGAAACTCAAAGCCAAAAATACATCTCCAGACCCAAATGGAAGAATGCCAAAATACGCACCACAATTTACTGTTGGGGATGAGACTAACACCAGGTGATATAACCCTTCCATGTACTATCCTAAACCATTCTGGAGGTCGACTTTGTAGCCCGGAGGAAGCTATAAATTACAAAACCAGAAACACCCCTGTCCCCCTAGGGCTTAGGCTTCAACAGCCATGCTGTCAGGAAGACTGGACCATGCGTCTGCAAGTCTGGCCAATCTGGAAGAGCCCATGGTTCATCTTTCAAGAGATTAATGATGTCTGCACATCAAGTTCTTTTTGAACAAACCAGTATGGTCAGAATCACTGGAATGCCTTCAGTCTTTATGCTGCATGACAGATGAGGAAGGAGTTGGGTGGAGGGAATGCATATATCAGAAAAAACGTATCCCACTGAGTTACCATGGCATCAACCGCAAAGGCCAGAGGATCCCTTGTTCAGGACAAAAGCCTAACCAGCTGGTTGCTGAATCTGGATACCAAGAGATGCTCATCTGGTGTCCCTAAGTGCAGACAAATCTCTGTTGAAAGACCCATTCTCCCAGGTTCAGCTGTCGACGGCTGAGAAAACTCACCTGCCAATTTCTATGCCAGGAATGTGCACAAGAGGATCAGAACATGAGTTCTGCCCAGGACAAGATCAGGTCCATTCCTGAGCAACATGACCTTTTGCATCCCTTGGGTTCTAAACCACCCCAGAATTTAAGTCAACGCCTTAGTAAACACCAAAGGGGACAGCAGACAGACTGAAAGGCAATGCTACAAACGGACAGTGGCGATACTCCACTGCTAAAGCAGTGAGGAGAAAATTGACTGGGGAGACTTCATACTGAAATTTTGCGCCTCTCAGGCACTTAGGACCTATGAGGTTGAGAATAGTCTGGATGTCTGTTTGGCCTGGCAACCATGAACAGGTTGGAATAAAAGCCATGAGACCTCTCCTCACAGGAGAATGAGAGGTGTGATGACCTCCTTGAGACAGTCATCTCTTTCCAGGGCCACAAGGACTACTGCTCTTTTCTGCAAATATGGGTCAGGGTCTTAATCTTCCTCCTTGGGGTACTGGTGGGCAAACTCCTTCCTTGGTGTAGCCCAATAGATATACATCAACTTCTTGTAAGGGAGGATGCACTAGGAAGGAGTTGGGTTCAAGTGGGGTCCCTCTATGTCTGCTGGTTGTAGTGACCGATCCAGATAAAGCCCACCTCTGCCTTAGAAGGGTTGTAAGGAACAGGCTCAGAGAAGTAAGAAGGTCCAAAAAGAAAAAGATGTTCAGGGAAGCTAGTAAATATCAAGTTAACAAATTTAGAGGCTAGATGCACTACCTTTGACTATGGCCCTAATGGGTTCTGAAATTTGTGGAAGCAGAATTTTCTGGAAAATACATACTGTATCCAAAACAATGGATAACTTACTCCTAGAGCCCCACAAAACGTTACATCCATACTCAGGATTACCACATAAAGCCTAAGAACTACCGTCTAGTGAGGATTACAGCACATACAGGAACAGCACCTTTCAAATGCCAAGAACTATGACTTCTCTTAGACAACACATGACAATTACAAACTTTTTAGGACCTATTCAGGTCACAGTTAAAGAAGCAAGAGTAAGTGAACAAGGTTGATCAATTTTAACCATATACAGCAGTCTTCCTTACTTTATGAGGTTCTGAAAGGCATAGCCATCAGTCCACTGCTCAGTGAAAGAGGCGCCGTGACGGACAGTGGTAAAATGGCCCAGCCGCAGGCGATCCTGCATGCTTTTATCCCGACATGCCATCTTTTCCTGTTTGGACTAATAAGAAATACACAAGATGAATCATTCGATTTACACACTTCATGAAAAATGTAAAACATAGGACATGCACAACCTGCACAGCAATAACATTTGGCAAACAGCTCTGAAAAGCAGAATGTCCTGTGTAAACAGCTAAAGTATGGTATGGAAAAGCTTTACCAAAAGCAGAACTAAACCATCCTATCCTTTACAGCCAAAGAAGCTGCCATCTTAGCATCTGATGTGCAGTTGCTATGGTGCTGCACATGCAAGAAGTTATGACACCAGCCTTGGTGCATGGCTTGACAGTTTGGTTGTAAGCAGTAAGGTTGTAACTGTGACAGTTAAAAAAGTTCATCTTTTTACAAAAAGTAATAAATGCACATTTTTTTGCAGGTAAAAAAAATGTCCATTTATTACTGTTTCTGGAGCCTCTAACGTATTGCACCAGGCATCAGAAGATTGCTGGTGCGATGCAGGTCTCCTGCAGACCTGTCAGTATATCTGCTTGCCCATTCGGGATGTACAGCCAAGCAGATATACTGAAAGAATCAATTAATCACCTCTACAGCTCCACATTGAGAACTACAAGCCAACAGCCGGGACTTGAAGCTCATTTATTCACAGCTTCATTGACGCAGCTGGAGCTCCGCACAGTCATGTTTTTTTTTTTTTTTAAATTGTGACAGCTAGCAGGGAGGTGAAGATCACCCACTAGCTGTCACAATGGGAAGCCACTAAATGCCTCCATATTAACCAGACTTGTCTGAAAATTAATCTGTCCAGACTCCATAGGACAAACCCCCCCAAAAAACCAAAGATTTTCTCTGATGATAATATATGGCAGAACATACACTACACAGAAAAAAAAACTGGGCACTGATGCTCACAACTCTGGCATGCAGTAATATGCTGATATGGGATTATAACTACAGTTTTATCTGCAAAGTCAGTCTTGAATGCATAGTTTAGAAGAGACCAAGCCCCAATGATTTCAGCATAAGATGGATTCTAAGAATTAATGAGCTATGTTTTATCTGAAGACATTGCTAACAACTATACCTGTGTAAATGCATGAGTGTTTGATTTTTAACATTAATAACGGATGCTCTGGATTAAAAACCTTACCAGGAACTTGACCTGGCATGCAGGAACCTATATGTACCTGGCAGTCTCAGTTTTAGATTTTAAGTTCATGGAGTGGAGTCCCTTGTACCTCAGGTCCAGGCTGTAGAACCGACCTCAACTTCTTCCCACTCTAAATGATGGCTTACCCTCTGACAACAAGTTTGCCCCTTTCATTTAAGTGTCAAATGTCAAAAACTACAGTAAACAAGGGCTCTATCTTCAACCTGATAGCTGGATTACAAATGTAAACCACAAAAACATGCAAGCACAGGAAACCTTCCGTCTTCCTCATTCTGCCTCTGAAGTCTAACAAGGTGTCAGGTGGAGGAGACCAATCAATATCACATGACCAGGAGGCTGAGTTCTCTACTGAACCAGGGCTATCCCAATTCTCAATGAATGAGCAGCAAAGTAGGTTAGGCAAAAAAAAAAAAATCAATAGAGAGATTAAGCAAGTCAAATATAAACTCTAAAAAGGTTGAAAAGGTCACCTTCTCTATAAGCAGTTTTTTGCTCATTGTCACACATCTGTTTAACCGTTCTTTGTACTTTTCTAACATTTTCTTCTGCTCATCCATTTGCCGTCGGAGGTCACAATTTACCTACAAAGATAGTTAAAAAAGGTAATATTCAACTGAAAATTCAGCTTTGCCAATTGATAGTTTTCAGCCAACTATTACCTGCACATAGAGAAAGTAAAACAAACACCATCTGGGGTTGTTAAAAAATGTATTGCATTGCTACTTTATTGAAAGATATCTTACTCATTTGTGAACCAGGAATTCCCAGTAAAGGCTACACAGATTGGGTCAAGGCTTTGAAGTTTTTGTCCACTGAGAATGAATTTGATTAGCAGAATACAGAACGCTACAAAAGTAATACCAGTTTATAGAACCTTTAGGTCATATCCATTTGGATAAATAGACCCGCATTACTAAAGAGCAACTTACTGGGGGACTGTAGTTATACAAATATGGCAACTTCTTTTCATTTTCTAGGCTTTCCAGTAGTGTTACAGTTTTTAAGGATACATTATTCTGGGTTTTCAGGATAAAAGATAATGCCTGATTTTAAAATGGAAAATAATGATCATACTGAAACCTTTAAAAACAAAGTGGATCTCCAGCCAAAGAGAATAATTATTTTGGATATAGCAGGGGAAGGGCTAGAAACACTATACAGTTTTTATTTCCACCTGTGTCTGCTTTTAGGAGATTTTGCTCACTTTCCGACTATTTGGGCAGGGTTATTAATATTGGGAATTAAAAACAAAACATATGTTTTCTATGGTTCACAGAGCAGTGAACCAAAGAAAACATATAGAACTGTAGTAATCTGACAACCATAGAACTGTAGTAACCTGAACAATGATTGATACTCCTCACCCAAAGAATTACAACTCACCCTTAATAAGTCATCTATCCTCCCCTCCTTTTTCTCTAGGTCAGAGTTTTTGTTGTTTTCGAGAGCGGATATTTTATCCATCGTGAGGTCAGACTGAAGAGAAAAAAAAAAAAATGAATCAAGTAAAAAGAATTAACAAAATGACAAACACTTGGTAACGATCACTTAGCCCACCAAACAAATGCTCATGCATATGTAACAGTGCAACACCGTAAACAAAACCTTATTCAAATGTATAGATTATAAGAATGTAAATTGACCCGAGCACCAAATCTCTGTAAACCCACATATTTCCTGGTACATGTAGCAGTGACATCATTGCGTTGTACAGAGCCACTATGGGCTACCTGCAGAAAACCACAGAAGGGGGAAAGAGACAAGACCAGTCACCATGCACAAGCAGAGAGAGCAGTGACTGGTCTTTATAACAGGAAGCTCCTGCACAGAGGCCAAGTGCAGGAGGGGATTCATGTTCCATTACTGCACAGATCTGGGAGGAATTAAACAAAGGGCTCCAGGAAAGAATACACAGGGCTCTTGTAGACAATATTGAGAAGATTTACTAAAAAAAAACCTCTGCGCTACTAGTACTCAACTAAACAAATAAAAAAACGTCAAATTGAATCAGGAAAGCAGCCACCACCCAACTGTGCAATCATTTCACTGTGTTAATGAATCAAATATGGTGAAGCGCTTCCAATATGACACAAATCAGATATCATATAAGCCTCATACCATAACCATTTATCATAAACAGATTCCCGTGTGTGTGTGTGTGTGTGTGTGTGTGTGTGTGTGTGTGTATAGATATATATATATATATATATATATATATACACACACACATACACACACACATATACATACATACACACACACACTATAACTCAAAGCAAAAAAAAAAAAAAAAAAAAAAAAAAAGGTATAGTCCAATGCGAGAGTTCCATACACCAACCAAAATCTTTGTGCAATCTTCAATCAGTATATTCTTGTCAGAACAACAATATGACTTTCCTCAGCCTGAACAAACACCACCGTGCCCTTCACCGCACCTCATGGGTATCTCCTCACCTTATATCATGGACCCCACTGTAAAAGGAGGGTCAGTTGCGCTTTTATATTATTAGAGACAATGATCTTCTTCAGCATTTACCTGGTCATTACCGATCTCCCAGGAATAGATATATTAAAAGGAAGCAAAGAAAACATCCAATAGTGCAGACTGTTAGTTTATTTCAATAAAAAGGTTAAAATTCCACTTACATGTTAAAAAGTTCATTAACATACTTGACTTTCCAAAATGGCATCCAAGCTTTGTCAAGCGTGATGAGGTCACTGCCCGTCTAATGCGCTGCACCCCAGTCATCTTTCTCAAAAGGCTCCAAAAGGCTTGTGGTCTCTAATATAAAAGTGCAATTGACCCTCCTTTTGCAGTGGGGTCCATTATATAAGGTGAGGCGATACACATGAGGTGTGGTAAAGGGCACGGTAGTGTTTTTTCACATTGAAGAAAGTCATTGTTCTGACAAGAATTAATATATTGTTTGAAGATTGCACGAAGATCGGTTGGTGTATGGGACTCTCAAATTGGACTATACGGTTTTTGTTTTTTTATTCTTTAACTAGTAGCCGACCGCAGATAGCCGAATGACGGCTTCACTGCGGCCAGCCAGTTCTGAGTGGACATCATATGACGTCCTCCCAGAACGCGCTCTCCTGCGTGCCCCAGGGGGCGCGCACCCGGCGATCTCCGTGATCGCTGTGTCCTACGGACACAGCTGATCACGTGATGTGGTAAAAGGCCAATCACAGCGGCCTTTTACCACGTGATCAGCAGTGTCCAATGACACGCTGATCAGAGGGAAATGCAAGTGCCGGTTCTCGGCTGCACTTTCCTCACGCTGTCAGATCGTGAGGAAAGTACTGCCGAGAACCGGCAGTTGTCAGAGCGGGGATCGGCACCGATCATCAGGGCACTGATGATCAGTGCCCTGATGATCGGTGCCCAGCAGTCCCACCCGCAAGTTCCGCCCACCTGTGCCCAGCAGTGCGCCCACTAGCTCCGCCCACCTGTGCCCAGCAGATCACCCACCTGTGCCACTCTGCAGTGTCACCCACCTGTGCCACTCTGCAGTGTCACCCACCTGTGCCACTCTGCAGTGTCACCCACCTGTGCCACTCTGCAGTGTCACCCACCTGTGCCACTCTGCAGTGTCACCCACCTGTGCCCCTCTGCAGTGTCACCCACCTGTGCCACTCTGCAGTGTCACCCACCTGTGCCCCTCTGCAGTGCCACCCACCTGTGCCCAGCAGTGCCACCCACCTGTGCCCACCCACCTGTGTCCACCAGTGCCACCCACCTGTGCCCACCCACCAATGCAGCCCAGCAGTGCTGCCAGTCAGTGCCACCAGTCAGTGCCCAGGGGTTGTGCTAGTCAGTGCCGCCAGTCAGTGCCCAGCAGTGATGCCAGTCAGTGCCGTCTATCAGTACCCATCAGTGTCACCTATCAGTGCCGCCTATCAGTGCTGCATATTAGTGCCGCCTATCCGTGCCACCTCATTAGTGCTGTCTATCAGTGCCGCCTATCCGTGCCACCTCATTAGTGCTGCCTATCAGTGCCCTTTAGTGCTGCCTATCAGTGCCGCCTCATCAACGCACATCAGTGAAGGAGAAAAAATACCTGTTTGAAAAACTTTATAATAGAAACAAAGAAACTTTTTTTTTTTTCAAATTTTTTGCACTTTTTTTATTTATAGCGCAAAAAGTAAAGCGCCCAGTGGCGATTAAATACCACCAAAAGAAAGCTCTATTTGTGAGAAAAAAAATGATCAAAATTTCATATGGGTACAATGTTGCATGACCACGCAATTGTCAAAGTGCGGCAGCGCTGAAAGCTGAAAATTGGCCTGGTAAATAAGGGGGTATAAGTGCCTGGTAGGCAAGTGGTTAAGAGTGTGTGTGTGTGTGTAAATTTTTTGGTACATTCACAAAAGGATACTGAATACTGAGGGGATCGGTTTATTATAAAGGGTTATGATATGATGTAATATGATATCTGATTTGTTATGTCATATTGGATGTGGCTTTACCAGTATTCGATTTTGAACCAATCAGCATAGGCGGCTCTTTAATTAGACAAACTAGGCAGTCACCTAAGGCCTCACAGCCGCCTAATTTGCCTAACTACCACAATCACTGGTGTTGCCAGTGAAAAAGGGCACTTTTCTGCTGTCTGTAAGCAGCAGAAAAGTGCCTGTAAAACCCCACTTGTCCCGAGCTTCATCTTCCCCCTGCACCCTCCTTCCTCTTCCCACTGCACACCTGGCCAGCGGCAGTCCGTCCAAACTGGCTGAGCTTGGCTTGGTTGTGGCTGCCGCTGGTCAAGTGCACAAGGAGGGAGGTGTGGGGGAAGAGGAAGCTCTGGACAGGGCACCTTTCCTTTTGAAAGCAACTTAAAGGAGGGGACAAGGGGAAGGAGTAGGACCAACGCCTGCAGGCACCTACAGGTTAGTGTGTGACAGATCTGTGGAGCAGTCAGTCACTCTCTCTGTGCGGGGTCAATGATGTAAGGGGCGAGTGGAAACCAACTCTGCAACCAAGCTCTGGTGACTAGAGAACCTCTTACATCAGAGTTTCACTTTACATCAGAGTCTGCAAAATTACCCTTTACATCAGGGTCATTGTAAGGAAAACCCTGCAGACTGATGTACTGTAGAGGGGAACTCTGATGTAAGGGGGGCTCTGGGAACTCTGAAGTAAGGAGGGATTCTAATGTAACAGCAGGAAGAGGACACGTTGCAGAACATGCAAAAGGGTGCTGCTGTGGAGCCGTAATAAAGGGCTCCTCATGGTTTTTTGCTTTGGGACTCTGAAGGTTCTAGGTATGCCTTTGGCCTAATGTATTACCTCAGTTTTGAGGGACAGGGGGACCTTGACGCTGCTATGCGCAGGCAGCGTTAAGAACCCGGTCACATTCACCTCTCACATAACCTAAGACTTCTGGAGCTCCGCCCGCCATCCAGTGAGGAGTGACGTTGCGTCCGCGCACGTCACCCTTCCCATCCACCGCACCAGGATCTCAAGTTGGGAAGGCCTACCAAGGATCTCAATCGTGGAAGGCCTGCTGCATAGCTGACGGACAGACAAATAGGCATTAAGTGAGGGCTCATGTCTAAGTTTTTGTGCAAGGCCTCACAAAGCCTAGACTCGCCTCTACCAATCAACTTCTAACTTCAGCTTGTTCAATTAAGCTTTGCTAATAAAGAATAGAAGCTGAATGGTTACCATCACAGCTGCACCAGATTCTGTGTGCACCAGTTTAATAAATCTCCCTTATATGTCTAGCCTGGATTTAAGCTTCAAAACAGCAACAGAGGAATACAAATTCAAAATTTAAGAGCAGCCAGGGAAATGTAAGTGGACTGCTGGTTGGTTACTGTTGGATACTGAGCTTTAACCATTGGAATTTTCTGAAGTGAAGGCCATTCATTACCCAGTAAATTGTCTAGAAAGGGAGCTGAGTATGCCCAGAAGCAAAATTTACCCACATACACTATGAGGATCCCCAGCAGCTGTTTTGGGGGGTGGGGTTGTGAGCTCAAGCCTAGCTCATAAATGTAGATACTGCCATCATTTCACCTGGTCATAACATCAAGGCCCAATGGAACAGTGATGTAAAATATCAACAAATTCCAGGTGGCAAATGGTAAATGTGTGAATTGGTGAGGGGATGCACTGGATACCTTCGCTGCCACTGTGCTGTTGCTGCGTGGGAGTTCTGGCACGGAGGCCTTCAATCAGTGCATCCCTGTAAGTAGGAGTAGGCTCCCTCCGGGCATACCTGCCCTTTATATATCCATTATTCTGTGTGTGCTCCAACTTTGGAGACTCAAAATTTATAGGATTATGACTGCAGATGTACTGGGGTGCCGTGACCTCTGCAACTTACGCATATATTTGCAAATGTGTGCAAACTAAAACCCTTGTTTTAATGTAAACTGTTAGGGTCAATTCAGTTTGTTGCAGACTGGCAAGTGAGCTGGGAATTTTTTGTTGGTTGTTTTTCTAGCAGATGGAAAAATGTGCTTTAAACAAACCGATAAGATAAAAGTAGAACCACTAAACAGCAGCAGGTATCCCACAGCACATACCTTTAGTGTCAGAATTTGAGCCTCTTGTGCCACCCTCAAGAACAAAGCTTCTATACTTCCTCACAGTGGTGATTAGACCCAACCACACAGCTACATGTCCCTACTAATAATTTTGAGTTTGAAGGAAATGCCAGAGTGAAAAATCTAAAAGTAAATGGTATGTGCTGGTGTTGTCAGGCGCATGCATCTCATGTTAGTTTAGTAGTTTAATTTTCCCCACAGCTTTGCTTTAAAAGTGTGGTCATCGGGAGGCAGAAAAAGTACATAATTACAGTTACAAGATAGAGAAGTGTAATGCTACATTCACACTGGCAATCAGGGCTGGTGCGAGTTGTAGTGGCAGTTCTCCCGGCGGCTCTCAGTGTAGTAGTGCATCCGATGGCCCCATTCACTATATCGACAATTCGCCGGCTGCCACACCCATTCACAGCTCTCTGCCCAGCCAGCGATCACCGCAGTCTGAATGTAGCCTAAGTGCTTTATCTCCCAGCATTCCAAAACAGCAGAGACATTACTGGATAGGTCCTCCTCCATGGAACATTACCCATCAGTAACACAGGACAAGGAATCAGTATGGGCTTACATGCCACAGGCAGTATGAGTACATCTCAGGGCATTTCAGAACAGCAATGAAGTGATGGAGGGGGTCTACTTCCAGAAAAGCAGCACCAACACCAGAAACAACTGGTGCCAATTTTTGTAGCATCACTAGCTCAGCAAAGCCCAAACAGTACTGGCTGCATGGTTCAAAGAGAAAGCCAGAAAGAATCTGCAAGTCAACATTTCGTAGAATACATTTTGGAGTAAATTTATTATGAAATTTGATTTTTACAATTTTTTTTACTGGACATGTTTAATAGCAAAAAGTCAACAATATTGTTTTTTTTCTCAAAATTGTCACTTTATAGCGCAAAAAAACCCCCAAAAAAAACAAAAAACCACACAGGCAATCAAATACCCCCGGAAGAAAACTCAATTTGTGTGGAAAAAAAGGATGTAAATTTCATTGAGTGCAGCGTTGCATGACCGCGCAATTATCAGTTAAAGTAATGCAGTGCCGTATGCAAAAAATAGCCTGGTCAGGAAGGGGGGTATATCCTCAGGAGGGCAAGTGGTTAATAGCACTATAATTTATTTTGGTCACCTAGTTGCACATTTGTGTTTCCAGCGAAGCTGTCTCATGAAACACCTACAAGTTTTTTTTTATGCAATCAGCTTCCTTGATATTTAAGAATTGCTATATTGTTAACTAGATTGTGGCTACTCTCAGATGCACCACAGAACAAGCTGGCAGACATCTTTGCATAATTTTAGGAGACGACTTAGATGCAGGGAAACTAAGTGCACACGTGTAGAGACTCACTTCAACTGTTCTCAAACAGGATGCTTTATTTATAAAGTGGTTCTAACCTGTATTTGTCTGTGCTGGACGGAAATCTGTTTGATGGGGATAGAGGAATGATCTAGGTTCAACGGTGTGGAGGAAGGAGGGCTACTCTGCTGACTCTGCAAATAAAAGGGTACATCTGTGTTAAAAGCAGAATAAAGATAACCCAATGTACACAGACGTGGAGAGAAGACAACACATATAAAAATTAACAAGGAAACACCAATCTAAAAACCAGGAATGTTAAGACCACAGACTACTCTCCCCCATGTGCTGCATAGAGCTGTGCCAAGTTAACAAGATAAACGGATCCAAAATGTTCTCTAGATAAAATATTTCTGAATGAAAATAACTACCAGTTGCAAGAAGAACTACTAAAACTAAGCTGATGTCAGCTACCTCATGAAGCAGGTAATAGAAAATGAATTTACATCAGGCTTATACAGCAGTTCTGCAAACTGCCCAGTCTTCAGCCTCATGTTTGTTTTGACAGCATCCCCACACCTAACATGGCCGCAGAGCTGGCTGACAAACATGCCAAGCTTTCCCAGCAGAGGCCTATGGTGAAGAATTTCCCTCACATTGTACAGGCTGTCTAGTAGGTTCCTTTTACCTTTAGGCTGCATTCACTTTCATTTGGGCATTTTACACGGATTGCCTGCCATAGGTGTTACATTGTTTCACCAAATAAGCAGAATTATCTTAAAAGAACAATTTTCGTCAAGTGAACCCATGCAAAATGAAAACAGAATTTCTAGCCTTCTCTGTAGTTGTACTAAAGCATGTGAAAAATCGAATGCACTTTCATAATGAGTAACACCACAAGACAAAAAAATTAGGTCAGAAAATATCTGTGGGTGGATCAATAAAGAAAGATTTACCGTTAGGGGTAAAGGGTTTGATAAGGAATGTTGCGGTGAGGATCTGGCAACCGGTGGAACGCTTCTGCCAGGACTTGTCCCCGGGCCACTTCCCCCAGCAAACTGCATTAAAATACGAAATATACGTTACCATATTACCTTTCATAAAAGTATATGGCTAATGTATAATAAACCTATCAGTATGTATATAATAAATCTTCCTTACATGGTTTCCAAATTGCAGACAAGCTCAGATATTTCATGTTTCATATAAAAGATCAATTTTTATTAAAAAAAAAGAAAAAAAAAAAAAAAAAAAACTTACCTCAAAATAATCACTAATTTTATGTCCTCTAGGAGTGTTTTTCCCTAAAAAAGACAGAACATAGGCTTTATTAAAAATACAGCACGTAAAAAAGGAACTGAATAATCAGTTATATATATCAGCTATATATGTTGAGACATAATAGCTACCATACACTTTTATGTTTTGGTGCAGGGTATAAAAATCCTGCCTGCTGTGTCTTCTACATTGTTTTCATCAAAAAACACTTTCCATAGGGATGAGAAAAATGTGTCCGAAACACGGCACATGAAAGATGGCAAGAGATGGGAATGCAGTCTAAAGGATTCAACCTCCCCAACTGGATTCCCATAGTGCACTCCGGCTGACACGGAGGTAAAAAGGAAATGTCACAACACATTCTCATCTACCTCTACTATGCTTCACTGCAGCAGTCCAGCATTGCACCTATGAAACATCATCAACTGTGTGGTAGAAGCACAGACAGACCCTTTTCCAGTGCGAAGAGACAAATGCAGGAAGTCCTCCCACTACAACATAATGTGGGTGTAGAGTGTAACAGAAGGTAGGAAATCCAGTTCAGACATGGGGCTAAAATGTCAGACACAAAACACATTTTCCATCAGCAGATCTATGTAGGAAGGTTACACGGTGTGGTGATCACAAAGCGATGAATGGTGCCTTTGGCCTGGGGAGCGAACAGAACCAACTAGCCCTTCCATAACAAACATTTCTGTGGGTTCAAAGGAAGTGAATGATGCAATGTGCGACCTTCTTGCCTCAACCATTGGTGGGCATGGTAAAAGGCGAGTGTAACTAAAAGGACATGGTTTATTGCAACATCTTTTTGCATTTTCCAATCTCAGCAGCACTTGGCATCCTGACATGAAATCTCAGAAACACAAAAGGAAGCTGGAAGACTTCCCTCCTTAAGAAGCTGTGATTATAGATAACTATAAATTTCCAACATGTGTCGCTTACTATGGATTCTGCTCTAATGTCTGAATTAGGCCCCTTTCACACAGGGCAGACCTGTCAGTGGATCCTCTTGCTCAGCAGGGAATCTGCTGATCCCTACTGAGCTAGTGGATGACACGTTTGTGTCCGCTGAACTTATGCAGATTGGACACAGACACACCCCACTGTTCTCTATGGTTGGTTGGATGGAAATGGACTGACTGCCATCTGATCTGATGGACAGAAGGGAAAAAGATCCCCATCTGTTTCTTTTGGCAGATCATATTAGATGTTGGCGCGTGTAAACGGACACATTAGTTTACACCTGTTGCTCAATAGAAGAAAATGGAAGTTCCAATAGGGTGCGCCTGAAAAAACAGGCCAGCGGGCCCAATCAGAACAACTGTGTGAAATAGGCCTTAGAAAGTATTTCCACTCAAGGCCAACAGCCACACATCTTACAAATGCCTTCTTACAGGCACCAGACTCCCAACCCAGTTGTCTTCTGAAACATAGAAATTTTACTCCTTTCCGGTTTGACTTCTAGCACACTGCTGCCTGACAAACACAACATTTTTAGGCATACAGGCGTTCTTTGGGTGTTTTTTTTTTTAGCTGATGTAAATGCAGACTATTGTTTTTAATGTGCCTGTACAAAAAGGCAAATAACGTGCTGTAAATAGCTCAGAAAACAAAATTTGCGTTGCTGGATAGCATTCTATGCACCCATACACAAAAATACACGTACGACACATTCCAACAACAGCTAGAAGAGCTTTTGCAGGTGTGTATGAAAACATGTGAATATGTGCATTACTATGCTGCTTACTGTCATGTTTTATGCAGAAATGTTCTGAATTTCATACATCAGTACTGTGTGCAATTACCTATAAATAGCAAACTCTTCTGCTCTGCTTCAGCCTACAATCATGAAATTACATGATGATCTTCCAATCAAGTTGGTCATGGGATAGAGAAAAAAAAAAAAAAAGAAGCAGAGAAAAAAAAATGTATGGCCAACTACTAGTCTGTATCCAGTTTTCTTTCCTGCGAGCTAATTTTGCTTTAAAGAAAAATAAACATACAGAATTATCCGCATAAGGAGTGCCTGCAAGAAATGTACACAAGTCAATGGGAACTAAAGATGGGAGGAGTTTAAATTTAATAAAAAACACAGGGGGACTGGATTTTCTGCTTCAACTCCTGGCACATCAGACCTTTGTCAAGTACTCACCTTTCCTATCTCTTTAGCACACTTACACTCTATTTACCATCAGGCTTGTACTTATTAAAGACACTACATTAAATGTTGTGATGAATTCTCCCTTTTTTTATAGACCTCTTTTTCACAATCCAATCGTTTTGGATACTTGCACAGAATTGTTTTGTTTTATATTCTCATTCTCGGTTTGTATGCATAACAAACTCAAAAGACTGAATCCTTTATATAATGCCTCCATTGTTACATGACTGATTCAGAGTATTTTTTATTGTATACTTTAATGACGGATGGCATACACGTGCAAAAAAAAAAAAAAAAGCGTTTATGAAGTGGCACTTGCTGCAGTAACTGATCTAGATCACTTTTTCACTATGCTTGACCTTTAAATGTAATTTACACTACCTCATTCAAGTTATTTGAGAGCTGCAAATGAAGGCGAGACCCCTTAGCGAGCAAGTGAAAAACATGCCAAACAAGAGTAACCAAGCCCACCACCAGACCAGGCATAGCATACCTTGACTCGTTTCATATGGTTTCCGCTTTTCTCTTGCGATTCCTCTGGTCATTCTGTTTTTTCTCTGGAGTCTGCTAAAGAAAGATCTTTTAGAATGACAGAAATATGCATGTCTGTCCTACAGTACACCATGAAAATCTGCCCATATGTGATCAGCACACACATTTGTAGGATGTTTAGGACACTTTTTAAGTCATCTTCTAGCACAGCAATGGGCAAACTACGGCCCGCGGGCCGTATACGGCCCGGCGGACCTTTTAATCCAGCCCGCGGAGCATGGCAAACATTGCCTGTCAGGATGTGTGTAGGCGGGGCAGCAGCGTGAGGCGGTGCAGCTGGGGAGCTAGGCTCCTCTCACAGTCCGCCCTGAAGACCGGAACGGCGCGGGAACACGGCGAGAGGAACGCGCGGAGCAAAGGTAAGTGAATTGACACAATATGGGGGATGAATTACTATAGGGGGGATGAATTACTATAGGGGGGATGAATTACTATAGGGGGGATGAATTACTATGCTTACTATGGATGACACACACACACATCATTCATCTACTCTTGGACCGGCCCCCGGGTCCAATATATGAACCCATTGCGGCCCTCAAGTCAAAAAGTTTGCCCACCCCTGTTCTAGCACTTCAACAGATCACTGAGGAAATGGTCTATGATGTCAATTCAAGTGAGTGGCTGGACTAGGAGGTCTGGTATGTAATCACGGAGGACTGACAGTTGATAGGGGTGATTATAGTTGTATTAGGTTGTTGAGTAAACAGACTCCAGCAAGCAAAGTTATATCATTTCTAAGAGAGAGAAAAAAAGTAGTATATAAATTTAGAGGGTGCCAACAAAAACTAAGGGCTTTTAAAGGGTTTACATGTCATGAATAGCAGATTTCATATATTGCAGCTCACCAGTCCTTAGATTTGGTGACTTTTTTTCAAACTTTTTTTTCATTTGTCACCTGGTAATTCTGCAAATACCACTACATGTCCTAGGGTGGCTACACTCATTCATTACAGTGCATCTATGGAGGAAGCCATGGATGTTACCAGATAAGTCAGTGTTGCTCCAGGTGAGCAGAGACAACAGGGAAAAAAAAAAAAAAAAAAAAAGGAAGGGAGGGAGGGATAAAAAAAACAAAAGCCATGAGAGTTCCTTCTAAAAGTACTGTTCAGTTGTACGTATATGCAAAAAGTGTGGTAAGCATATACTCACATTCAGAAGGTTACTGAATATGTGTCTTAAGATCAAGCAACCTAATTTAACACGTGAAGTATCGGTCTCCATGCAGAGTGGGGGTGGTCAAACCCTATGCACGTCAGGGTTTTCATGAGATTCCTGCACGGCTCTAGGCTGCATTCAGATCCAGTGAACAATGGTAAAGTGGATGAGGCCTCAAAATAGAACCAATGTGTTGTTAGCAGAGGTGCCCATATACTGTTGCAGTAGACTCTGGGCTGAGCGAATGCAGACAAATCCCACCCATTAACGTGGACTGTACACCTTTGCTAACGTAGAGGCCTCTAAAGAGCCATGAAACGAGTGAATGGTGTGTTTTAAACTGTTCTTCTGATTAATACTAATCTTCCTGAAGAATCCACTTGGAATCACCTTTTTATTTATTGGTCTGGGAATCACCTTTATTCAACAGGCACCTCTGCTAGCCACACATTGGTTCAATTTTGGGGCCTCATCCCCTTTACCATGGTAGTTACTATCTTCCTCCATTCCTCATCACCATTAAAAAGAGAGGAATTCTTTTGACGTATACAGAAAGATTTTAGTGTACAGAAGGTTACAAAAATATTGGAACTTTGGCAAGAACAATAGGTTAGCCCCCACATCTATGAACTGGTAATCTGCAAAATAATTACGTTTGGATATGGACAAACTTTAAGGCGGCATCCACACCCAACCAGTTACGGGAACGCGTTAAAAATGCTGCAAAATGCACAACGCGCTTGCAGTGTCATTATTTCTTAACAGCACCCCACGTTTAGTCACGCAACGCAAAACGACTAACACAAGAATGGAACAAAAATGTGCAACCACACAATTTCCATATAATAGCTAACTATAATCAAGTGTATGTGTGTGTGTGTGTATATATATATATATATATATATATATATTATATTCTCATTGCTCAAATACGGCATTCGCTGAAAGCCGATGGAAAATAGCCACACACAAAAAGTGACTTGTACAAACCAATGTTATTTTTTATTCTTAAAGTAAAATACATTGAAATTGCTTGACTCCAAAATGTAGAGAGTGTCTTTGAAAACTACGACAGGCCAGGGACACAAAAGCCAGTATTTCACTTTGGAATGAGCTTCTCACCTCAAGTTCCTTGTCGCTCAGAGAACCCAGGCTACATAGACTTTGGTTAGAAGATTCACTGTTCAATTGTCCCTAAAATAAAAAAAAAAAAAAAAAAAAGATAGGAAAATAAGGTTCAGTTTAGATCAATGTAACTTAATGTTTAAAATAAATTCTTGAAGAATGTGCTTTCACTGACCACAACTGCCAATATCAGCACTTGTATTAAGTTATATATTATTATATGACATTACTCGGGGCTGATACACAGGTCATCCATGACAATGAAAACAATATTTCCAAAAAACTTATTTTGCATGTAGGGTGGGGGAAGGGCTCACTGCAAGGCTTTTTTGTGCCCAAGGTTGGGCTTCAAGGACTTCTCTCTAACTCCATTTTTGCAGATCTGCATCCTTGTTTCAGGTCATTGACTTTCAAAGCACTAAATGCAGGGCTTGCCGTAACAGCCAAGAAACTTGCATTTTTCAGGACAAGCAGAGATGGTTCCTTATTTTTCCCTAACACTGAAACAAGAACTCTTTCTTATATATTTAGCATGATTTATTAATTCTTATTAACCAATATGCAAAATATTTTGTGTATGTACATCAGCACATTGTTAACCAGAGAAAATAATTCAACTCCCTGACTCAGGTTCAGGCAGCTTGGCACAGTCTAATAATGCAATGGTGTCAAACAATGGCCTGCCTATTAGCTGCCCTCCCACACTTAGAGGAGTTCAAGTGTTCATTGGTTCTCTTCAGAGATTTTACCAGCCGCTGATTTCAAAGCCACATCCTTCATTAATTAGATGGAAGTTCTTTAAGACTAGGGTCAGGGGGGTGTAAACAATGAGAGCAATTATCCATCGGCAGGAGGAAGCAGTTTTTCTGACAGAACTGTCAGTGGGAAGCTGCTCCTTCGGCATGCACTTCTACCAGGCCTGTGGATTGCTCAGTTTTCTGTAATGCTTTTACAAACCGACTGGGCGAGTATGACATGTGCTATATTCTTCTCAGTATATCCCATGGGATGAACCCGTCTGCTGATAAATGACACACTAAACAGCAACATGTAAATACGGCATGGACAATGCACAAATCTCATTTCTCAGCGTAAAGCAAGGCTCAGGCGTGCACTAACTACGAGTTATACTACAGGCTTAAAGTGGTTCATACACTCTATACATGAAGGTAAAAAAAAAAAAAAAAACTTCTGTGTGCTGCTCCCCTCACAGCCTAATACTCACCTGAGCCCCCTCTTGATCCAGCGATGTGCACAGGAGCCTCAGTTGTCCCAGGTCTCTCTCTCCTCATTGGCTGAAACACAGCAGTGGGAGCCATTGGTTGGGATTCAAGGCAGCAAGGCAGAGGTGCTAGAAAATGTGCTGCCCCTTATTGGTTTAAAAGGGACTAAGCTTACTGAAGCAAAAAATATATAGTGCAGATTTATAAAGCAGTGAATGTGACAATCACCAAACCTTTAATGCAGGTGAATCTTTCCAGGTGCATGTGTTTAACTCCTTCCTGCCCAGCGTATTGTAAGATGATGGCCAAGCAGGTTTCCTATTATCCTGGGAGGACGTCATGACCTCCTCCCAGGATCGCACCTCATATGGCTGATGACCGAACACTACACTGGCCCGCTGCCAGTGTCATGTGATCTCTGTGACCAAATCACAGCAGAACACATGACAGTTGTAAGCAACGAATGTCTTGGAAAGGAAGCCATTGTTTACAACTGTGCTGCTGATTGGACACATGTACAGCCTGGGCCAATCACAGCCCATCTGTAGCATGTGATCAGCAGTGGCCAATCACAATCAATAACAAAAATTACTGCATGAATCCGTTTCATTCAGTAAAAAATTCTTGCTTATACTAATGAAATCTGTTGGTATAAGCAATCATAATATGTTAATTAAAAAAAAAAAAATCCTGATCACTTCCCCAGAGAAATACAATATTACTATGGTAATATTGTATTGCTCTAGTTACAGTAGAAAAAAAAAAAGTATTTTTTTTTTTTTAAACATACAGCACCAGTTATAGGGTGACACTGTACTTGCACTGGTGACAGTATGTAAAAAAAAATAATTGTCAAATTTTTCTTCATTTCTTACATTTTCACAAAATGACAAAAAAATGACAACTCCAAAAAACTCACTATGCCTCTTACTAAATACCTCTGACTGTCTACTTTACAAAAAGTGTTCATTTGGGGAGTATTTGTACTGTCCTGGTGTTTCTGGGCCTCAAGTACAGTCAGTACATCAGGATTTAGCAATTGTTAAATATATACTATAGTTTGTGGACTCTATAACTTTCCTACTAACTAATTAATAAACACGGATTTGGGTTATTTTCACTAAAAAAATGTAGCAGAAAAACATTTTGGCATAAATTTGTGTAGAAAATTTTTACAACAGAAAAAAAAAAGAAACGCATTTTTGCTCAAAAATTTAGTTTTTTCATTTATAGCGCAAAAAATAAAAAAAACCCAGTGGTGATTAAATACCACCATAAGAAATCTCTATTTCTGTAAAAAAAAAAAAAAAATATGGGTACAGTGCTGCATGACTGCACAATTGTCAAAGTGGGTAAAAAATGCCCGGTAGACAAGTAGTTAAAATGACCACAAATGGCTCAGCACTAGTGAAGGATATTGAAATCACATTTACTGCTTTATAAATATGCCTCATGTCTGACAAATGACCTGAAAAAAAAAAAAATGCATACACACAGACAAAATACATGTAAGCCTTCCCACAAAAACCAAAAGCCAAATAGATCAGAACTGTGTGCATCTAAAAGGGAAATACTTTAATCAGCGTGCATAACAAGATAAATATAAAGGTTAAACCACCCACTTCACAGAAAGTAAAGAGCCTCTCACCAATCATCTCTATGATAATAATTAAACTCCATGTTTTGTATTTAGAACAAAAGAGTCAACCAAATCAATGTACTTGTCAGAGGGGACACAACCACCAAGGAGAGAGAAACGCTGGAGGAGCTGCTATTTATAAAACAAAAACTTAGCAGACAGTAGCTTAGTTAATGTTAACGGTTACCCCATATTTTTGCCAGGTTTAAAAACTTTTAGATACAAACACCCAGCCCCACAACTGCACACTATTATTTTGGGCTTGTTCATGGGAGAGAAACAATCGTAAACAGGGTGGATTTGATTTAAATCACTAGTGAAAAGGCTCCATTTAAATCAATTTTCAAAGAGCAGCTGTCATCTCTGTCCCGCAGCGGCTCCTCCTCTGACTCACGGTCGACTCACAGACAGTCCTATTCACTTTAATGGGACGGCTGGTGAGGCAGAAGTGACACAGCAAGGTGAGGGATGTGGCGGCAGGTGGTGAGTGGATGCCCACTAAAAGGCGCTGCCATGATGGATCTAAAATGACAGGTGCTCTTTAAATGTAAGGAATCTGACTCATTCTTGCTGGTAGTTACAATCTTTACAAACCAAACAAAGGTTTCCTTTTTAGAATAATAAGCTGTCAGGTTAGTAAAACAGCAATATCAGAACCGATTTTAGGTTGATCACACATAGCTGGAGAACTACTCAAATTCTTTTATTTCATGTTTTTCCTCATTTTTACTGTGGAATTGTGTGACTGCATCAATGCAGTGCATGTTATCTCAGCTTGCAGAGCTTGGATTCATTGAATGAACTTACCAAAAATTTAAATATTGCAGAATATACAGCGTCATGCTACATAACTAAGCTCCATTTCATGCTGAATAAACTAAATTATTAATGTATCTTAAAGCGGAGTTCCAGCTGAAAAAAAATAAATAAATAAAAGTCAGCAGCAATAAAAACTGTAGCTGCTGAGTTTTAAAATACACTTACCTGTCCCTCGGTCCAGCGGTGTCCACACCACAGCTGGTTTCACTGGCCGTCTTCTCTCCCTGGCGCCGGCATCTTCAGTGTGGGCACCCGGCTGTGACAGCTTATGGCTTCACAGCCGGGTGCCCACTGCGCATGTGCAAGAAGCGCTGCTCTCTGTGAATGGCCCCGGAGTCTTCTGGGACCTGTCACGTGCCCAGAAGACTACGGGGAGGGCAACTTGTGTTTCCGATCGCCTAGGCCAGGGGTGTCAAACTGGCGGCCCTCCAGCTGTTGCAAAACTTCAAGTCCCATCATGCCTCTACCTTTGGGATTCATGCTTGTAACGGTCAGCTTTGCAATGCCTCATGAATCTTGTAGTTTGGCAACAGCTGGAGGGCCACCAGTTTGACACCTGTGCCCTAGGCGATTGCAGCGGAAGTGGGAGCGAGCACCTATAAAATTCGGGTACCCACTCCCCAAAGGTGCCACTCCTTTCTGGGGAGCGGGGGACAAAGACTTAAAGTGCAACTTCCCCTTTTGGGTGTAGCTCCGCTTTAAATAGAAAACTATCTTTGGATAGATTTTTTTTCTCCAAAAGCATTTTATTAAAATAAATTAAGAAAAATCGGAAAAAAAAAATTAAATTAAAAAAAAAAATCCAATTCTTTGATTTTAAAAAAAAAAAAAAAAAAAAAAAATCATTGATTTTTATCCACCCTGATCGTAAATATATTGAGAAAAAAAAAAAAAAAAAAAAAAAAAAAAAACATAAAACACAGCTCAGAAACAATCATGAACAGCTCTGGTAGATGCAATGCACCATTTCCTAAGGTGCAAAGTGTAACCCCCCCATGTGAACGAGCCTTCAAAAGTACAAACAGGGGCTGTGCAAGTCTTCTGGACTTGCAATTCGTGAAACCGCACAAAAGAGCCCTGAAACAGACAGTAATAAAAGCTACTACTATACCACAACACAAATTCAATGTAAGCAAATGAGCTGTCAAAGCTTACCTTTGAAACCCCGGCTCCTGTAAATCGCGCTTCCAACAATTCCTGGCGCCGAGGGTCCAGGCTATGCAATTCTTCCATCATTTCCACTACAAAATGACAAACGTAGGAAATTAGATGTTATGACCAATCAAAGAACAAAGAACAGACACGTCATCATAAAGAACTGTGCATAGACAATTGTGGGAACGCTCAACTTTCTGCCTCCTGATTTTAGGCCAGTGTAACAATACAGGGCCAGTGCTTTGAAAAGGAGAAAAAAGGTAAATGTCTGCTAACACAAAGTCCTCAAATTTACCTGAGAGACAGAGGTAGGTGATATAAATCCCCAAGCCTCATACAAAATGATTAATAGCACGTTTGGATGCTCAGTCCTCAGCCAAAATCCCAAGTACCCTCTGCCTGAAGGTCAAGCTTTGCAACAGACTCAATGGCTACAACATTTCCTGATCACTTTTTCTCCGCTACAAAAATTCTAATTCTATTATCTTGAATAGAATAGAAGTGGAACAATTTGCATCAAATGGGTATATGGTGAACATTGTCGTCTATCTCTGCAAGGTCACCGTGTCACCTGGTCACACAAAAGGCGTTAGATTTGATAGACTCAATTTTAATGACATCTGGCACCATAAGTGACAATCAGCAAGAAGCAGATAAATGCAAAACAAACATGTCAACATGACCAGTTTGACTTACGCCAGCCATAGACAGAGCGATTTTCTTTCCTGCAATCGCTCGATTTTCCCATCAACACAGTCAGGGGGAAACCCTCCTGGGGAGCCCGTTGTGTTTTCCTGACAGAGGGAGCTATCCCCGCCAGGAAAACACAGCGATTTCTGCAAGTGGCTAGAATAGCCATTAACCTCCCTAGCAGTCTAATTATGTCAGTATTTCTGTGCTCAAAGCGGTACATTATTTTCAATGGAAAATTGTTGTTTTTTTATTGTAGGCCTGTAATTCTTAGGAATAACTCACTGAAATCTGTCCGAACAAGAGTCTAGTAAACATCCCGGGTATGATAAAATATGAAACACAAAATTATAAATTATAATATAATAAATTATAAAATAATAATAAATTTAATTCAATAATATAATCAAACCAAAAACACTGAAATGTGAAATAGAGCGCCAAGTTCGCACATCACTGAGCTTAGTTGCAAAATCGTTTTGTGACAAAATTTCCCCCACAAATCATCACTCAATTCTGCAAGTGGTTCTAATTTACTATCGCTGTTCTCTAGCCGGTCTAAAACCGCTTTTGACCTAAAGGGACGCTTTTTGGACGCCATGGAGTTTTCTCAGTTTCCAGGCAGAAAGAACAGTAAATATGCAGGCAGGGCGCAGGACAAAGCACTCGGGACAAAATGTATGTGAAATGGTTTGATACAGTAATGTTTTACTATCAGATATTCGTGTATTGAGTGAATGTCAAATTTTTACATTTTTTAAATTCGTCCCGACACAGGGAATGGAACCCGGAAGATGGATGCCAGCATCGGCTGGAGGACATGGCTGGGGACTCTGCAGGGGGGACATCGCAGGGAGCGCAGGACAAGGCAAGTGCTGGAGGGATCCCAGAGCAAGGCTGCAGGGTAATCCCGAGTGTAGCTCAGGGTTAATGCTTTTGGTACTGAAAGTTAACCCCGAGCCACACTCAGGAATACCTCAAGGGGGGTTAATAATCATCACATGTACAACTGGACAGGCTGGTTATACCCAAGTTGATTGATGGATCAGCGTGGATACATTCATCCTGCACAGACATGGTTGGAATCTTGGACAGTCCCTGCTGAACCAGCCAAGATTTGAACTGTACAGCACGGGTGTCAAACTGGCAGCCCTCCAGCTGTTGCCAAACTACAAATCCCATGAGGCACTGCAAGATTGACCGTTACAAGCATGACTCCCAAAGGCAGAGGCATGATGGGACTTGTAGTTTCGCAACAACTGGAGGGCTGCCAGTTTGACACCCCAGGTCTACGGCCAGCTTTAGGCCCCTTTCACACAGGCATCATCCATTCAGTTACATCTTTTCTAAGAAAAGTGGACTGAGTGTCCATCAGTTAACATTCATCTTCCGTTAATCCATTTACATCTGATTACTTGTCTGCTTCCATTTTTTTTTCTATGCTTCTTTTGTTGAAAATAAATAAAAAAGAAAGAAGGACCAGAACGGAAACTGTCAAAAAACTGAAGTGGAACGTCACTCTCTCAATCCATACTTGTTATTCATTGTGGTACTAGCATCAGTAAATAGACAGAAATGTATATCATACTTGTATTAAACTTTTTCTTTTTTCACATCTTCAGTTTACTTCCTGGCTTCCAGGCCTAGGCATATGATGTCATACAACCCACAAGTCTTTAGAAGGAGTTCTCACAGCTAAGCACACCCTCCTGCCCGCATGCTTGAGCTAAGGGCAGATGGATTCCAGGAAGTAAATGCTACATGAAATCTACCCTTACTCAAAATGACCACGGCAAAAAATTCTAGGGGCATGTTTTTCAAACTGATTTCTCAGCAAAATAATGCATGGATGGATGGGG